ATGGGATTCATGTCAGAAACAAACTTCCTTTAAGTTACTCTGGAGTCGACATTAGAAATCCTGCGTATGAAATCAATAACTGTTTGGATTTTTGCCGGACATGCATGGGTAGCTTCCCCTGGCGTACTATCCTGGTTAAAATATATCACAGTTTCTAATTTTAGAATGTTAATGCATTATGTACTTATATCAAATTTCAAAGGGAAATTTACAAGAAAATTCGAACATAAAAAACGTGGCTTTAGACTGGAGTACGTATAGATATATTATAATTATAGTTCTTAACGGGGCTATTGTTGTGAAATAGCCTGCTACACAGATATGATACCAAAACAACCAAGACCTGAGGCAGCTGTTTACCACGTTAGTTTAGATGTCAGACACTAATCTCAATCACTGGTGATTGAAGACCCACCTGCATCGTGGGTCATCCGATTGATTCGGCTCCCAAAACAGGTCGATTGCCTCCCCTTTCCCCTGAAATTGTGGGATCGGAAGTAGTCCATAGACGCCATTCTTGCCAACAGACTGATTTCCAGACAAAGGCTACCGACTGCAGCAGGATGAAGGTAAGTAGCCCGTATAGACACGCCGTCTTACGTGGTTCCTGTTTCATATCCCATGTTCAGAGGTGACGGAGTGGTACAGATAGAGATGTTTCCTTTGATAAGAACCGAGTTGGAATATAGTCCACGCACTAGAGATAGTTTCCTGTTCTTTATACTATCTGAGTGATCTTATCTCAACGTTAGACGTCGACAAAAGATAAACACCTCATGCCGAAAGTGTTTAAATGGATATGAATTGTTCTGGTTAATTATTTTATATGATTCGGGACTAGTATCCTAGACAGTATCAATGTATGCTTGAGAGATATTGGAAGTGAAAGTTTGGGTGTGTTTGTGTCTATACTGTCACATTTGGTATCGCAGTATGTCTGAGATATGATCCTGTGATCAAAGTTTGTGTCTCCCATTCACTGGTCAGGTAATAATGATATGACGAAGTATATCCGCTATTTTTGTGTTTTTGCTTTGTGCAACGTACTTGATTGTGTATCATGTGGTATTATGCAATCAAGGAATTCAATTTGTAGTTTTGTGTTATTGGATCAGTAGAATCAACATTTCGATCATTAATCACAATTTTCTCATCAGTGTAAGAAGATTTCTTTAAACTGAATATCCTTGTAATTCGGAAATTATGATGATGGGGTTTCGAGTATTTGTATTTTAGTGACGAGAATCAGCATTAATGATCGTAAAAACGTCATCTGAAAGCAAGAAACGCCACCTCACGGCGAGGTTTACACATTGCCTAAAAATGTAATGATTTAGATTCGGACATAGATTGAAACTCTGCACAGTCTGATTACATTACGGAAGCCAACGAGTCTTCAAACCAATGAGCACCCAGATAACATCCAGCTCCGTACACCGCTTGACTTAGCCTCACTGCCATCTACTCAACATTTTATATCAATATCCCGCAATGATGGGGGTCGTACTAAAGTCGCACACAGTTTGCTTTATTTCATGTCCGTTTTGTTTCTTTAAAGCCGCACTGGGTGAGTGAGTTTGGTTTTACGCCGCTTTTAGCAATATTCCAGCAATATCACGGCAGGGGGGCCCCTGAAATGGGCTTCACACATTGTACCCATGTGGGGAATCGAACCCGGGTCTTCAGCGTGACGAGCGGACGCTTTAACCATTAGGCTCCCCATCCGCCCCTGCCGCACTGAGCAATATTCCAGCTATTTGACGACGATTTGTAAATAACTGCGTCTGGACAGACAATTCAGTGATTGCCACCATGAGCCCAGCCCATGGCAGCCGGCACAAACACGTTTGAGTGAGTCAAGTGAGTTCTGCATCCCACCCCCTTTAGAAACACTCAAACAAACATAAGAATATATGGTATACATCAAAATAGGGATTTGCATCGGACATGATTATTCTTACTGATGCTTCAAATTTGCAAATGTCCTCCACTTATAAACCATAAAACGTTTAGAAAGATTGGTCCCTTTGATGAAAATTTGATGGACGACTCATCAGGTCGAAATATGCCCATGGAGTATTGAACATTGATAGACATAATCCAGAGTGAATTTGGATCCAGTTTGATGACATGGTATTTGAGGATTATTTTGTATTTGAATTCTGTCAAGCTGGAACATGCCGCCTAGTGTCATGAAGAAAACAATGTGAAAAGTGAATTTGAATAAATAGAAAAAAACGTGTTTTCAACATCGTCTACCATCGCCACTTATGACCAAACTGTGCGACAATGTCCACAGCCATGTTTAACGGAGGCTGGCAATGAAACCAACAAGAACCCGTTACTTGATGGTGATGTATTGATATTGCGTATAATACAGTTGTTATTGTCGGACGGCTGTATTGCTGCCTGGTAACGTTAACACCAATTATGTAATTGTTTGGTAAATATTCAAATGTATACTTCCATTAGCTCGTAAGTATACATTAATATTCACAGCTATTCACAGTCTCTCTCTCTCTCTCTCTCTCTCTCTCTCTCTCTCTCTCTCTCTCTCTCTCTCTATATATATATATATATATACTAAGCAGCAAAAGAAACGTCAGTTTCGAATTTTCCTTCGAAGAAACGGATAACTGAAAACTTAGTTAATGTTTTAAATGTATATTTTTAACAACATCTCCAACTTTACTCGAGCAGCATTAATTCTTCCCAAATCCTCTCGGAATGGAACCCAGGAAATGGTCTCAAAACGCAACCTGATCTCGGAGATGGTACGGTGTTCTCCATGCTTTTCATAATAACCTCATGCTGCACGCTGTTGTTCACAAGGACCTGCCCTATAAAATGCGCCCCCCAAACCTGTTCGAAACATTCTCATTACAACGTCAGCAGGATGCCGCGACTCACAACAGCTCAGAGGAACCAGGCGCCAGGGAAGACTTTGAAGCTGGCCACACTGCACAAGCCATTGCCAATCACTTCCAGGTCAACGTTTCGGACCATCTAAGGTATGCGGTGCGACCGTTTCCGGCCACTCACACACCACAAACAGATCGGCCCCGAACTGTCCAGACTGCGGGTGACCACAAGACGGCAAGGCCGCCATGTTGTGCGACAGCATGTACAGAATCCCTTCATGTAGGCATCCGAAACAGCACGCCAGACAGTGGGAACACACGGAAGCCCAATCAGTACTGACACAGTACGCCGACGTCTTAACAGCGGGAACCTCCATTGCCTTAGATCTTACCGTGGACCTATCCTCACCCCTCGTCATCGGCGTGAACGTCTACAGTTTGCCCTACAACACCAAAACTGGCGATACAGGCAATGGAGAACTGTTCTGTTCACAGATGAGAGTTGGTACTGCGTATCAACTGCAGATGGCAGAACAAGAATATGGCGACGACGTAGCCAGCGTTACTCAGACCAATGTGTTATGGAAAGAGACTCATGGGGAGGTGCAAGCATCATGGTATAGGGTGGAATAGGCCTGAACCAGAGAGTGGGTCCTGTGGTGTTCCAGAACCTTGGTCCAGGGAGAGGAGGCGTCATCACGCCCGGGCCCATACTGCTAGAGCTACACGGGACTTTCTACAGCAAAACGGTGTCAACATTATGCAGTGGCCAGCCCTTAGTCCTGATGCCTTGAAATGAGTTATTCATTGATGTGTCAAAATATTGTACACAAATGTTTTTGATCCGCTTATTATGTCCATTTCTGTAATGATTTGATTACAGTGCCTATCTAATTTTGAATTCGTACTGACAGGTTTTTTTTGCTGCTGAGTATATATACAACTATTTCAAAGAAACAAATTAAGAATCATTTAATGTTGACCTCTTGAAAAAGAATTTTGTTCCATTGTGGTCAGGGCCACGTACCGAAACTTCAGCTCCACCAGCCGGGCGGTTCTTAAAGGTTTTGGAGAAGATTGCTGTATGCAAACAATGGATGTCGGCGCACTCTGTAAGTTGTATTACCATTTGGGTGTAACGGCGCACTCTGTAAGTTGTATTACCATTTGGGTGTAACAGCGCACTCTGTAAGTTGTATTACCATTTGGGTGTAACAGCGCACTCTGTAAGTTGTATTACCATTTGGGTGTAACAGCGCACTCTGTGTTGTATTACCATTTGGGTGTAACGGCGCACTCTGTGTTGTATTACCATTTGGGTGTAACGGCGCACTCTGTAAGTTGTATTACCATTTGGGTGTAACAGCGCACTCTGTAAGTTGTATTACCATTTGGGTGTAACAGCGCACTCTGTAAGTTGTATTACCATTTGGGTGTAACGGCGCACTCTGTAAGTTGTATTACCATTTGGGTGTAACGGCGCACTCTGTAAGTTGTATTACCATTTGGGTGTAACAGCGCACTCTGTAAGTTGTATTACCATTTGGGTGTAACAGCGCACTCTGTAAGTTGTATTACCATTTGGGTGTAACGGCGCACTCTGTAAGTTGTATTACCATTTGGGTGTAACGGCGCACTTCTGTAAGTTGTGTATTACCATTTGGGTGTAACGGCAAACACGGGGACTTTACAAATGATGAACAACTCTATGCGTTAATCATGTGGGACTTTATCAGAACTGAACACCATTACATCCAATAAACATATATGTACATCTCTGAAACCAGGACTTCGTTAGTCGCCTCTTTCTACAAGCGTGTGTTGCTACCATGCCTTGGATTCCACGGTACTTGGCGCTCCCAACAACTACACATACTTACACAGCATTTGTATAGAAGTAACCAGCTGGATACTTTATCTTCCCACAAACATCCACAGTCACGTTTGTTTAGGACATCGTCCTGGTTGACACCGGGCGGCAGCCTAGCTACCCTGGTGTCTTGCTGATAGTGAGACTGAAGAAATGGCCCGACACTGCCAAACCCTGGCTTGATGTGTCGTTAAGATACGCCCGCAGCGTCCCCACAGATGTCGTCGTGATCCATAAAGACCATGTCCCCTCATACAGTCATGTCCACTATGACGGGTGTTCTGTGTTTAGTGCTCGTGTTGTGTAGCGTGGCGCACGACGCCGTAGCCAGTCCTCTCAGTCCCGAGCAGGTTGGAAAGTTGAGTGAGGTTTATTCGAACGTTGTACAATGTCGTAACGTCCCTGGGATGGGGCAGCATTGGTCCGCCATAACGAAACTCTGTACACTGGGGGCTTCGGTATCCGCGAGACCAACTCTCAAAACGATGCTGTCACTGACAAAACGTTGTTCAATCTAGCGTCGCAATCCAAGGCGTTCACCAGCACTGTGGCAGCTGACGCTGTTGCAAGAGGGAAGATCAAGTGGGACGCGCCACTCAGAGAGGTCCTCTATATATTATTTAATACATGTTGCGTATTCCAAATTTCTCTTGACATGTATACATGGATGTGGCTTTGTGTATTTGACAAGCATGGTGTATCTGAAAAGCGATTTTATGCTTTATCTGTCATTTATTCCTCGTAATGCCTCTTTGATGGCTATATGGAGTAAGTTACTGAGGATCATGGATTTAACACCCAGAAACATAATAGAGGCGAACTGGAAGCAACGATCACAGGTTTCTGGTGTACCCAAGGGACGCAACTCTATACAGTGAATTGACTACTGGGTAACCTATCTCAATTCAACATTTGAGAAGCGCGTCTCAGCTTCTTTATATGTCAACTGTACTTCTTTTCGATGGGCATGAGACATTCACAGGTTTTACGTAACGCTAGGTTTTCCTATACTTTATGTTCTGCTAACGATATGGGTAATAATAACGGTTGTGTTGACAATGCAGGTGCTTGGCCCTAACTTCCGGCTTCAGGATGACTTCCGGTCTGAGGAGGCGTCCTTGCGGGACCTGCTGTCACACCGACTTGGGATGCCTTCCTACTGGGGCATCTCCACATCAGTCATGAACCTGACAAGACTGCAGATTCTGGAGTACGTTGGTAGTAGTAGTAGTAATAGCAGTAGTAGAATTAGTAGTAGTAGTAGTAGAAGCAGTCATAGTAGTATTAGTAGTAGCACCAGTGGTAGTAGTAGTAGTAATAGTAGCAGCAGCAGCAGCAGTAGTAGTGGTACAGGAGCGGTAATTACGTCATGAAGTGATTTGTTGTTGCTGCAGACGTATGAAAGACTTCCCCGTTCAGTACGACTTCCGGGACCGCTACCTCTACAGCAACTACCTGTATGTAGCGGCGGCGGCAGCAGTGGAGACGGCATCGTGCGAGACATGGGAAGACGCCATCCAGAACAGAATATTCAAACCTCTTGGTGAGACTATGATTTCTTACTTGTTCCGTTGACTGGATGATTTAGAAGTTATGTAAGTAACTTTGCAAACTGTCTTTCCAAAACAACACTTGACGTCATTATGAAGTCAAACTAAACACAACCTCCAAATCCTCAAAGACAACATTGATAACGGGCTATTTAACGATCGAACCTTGACTCACTGGTCATACTTAAATGCAACTGCAGGAATGACATCAAGTCGTCTAAGCACGCGGTTGACGGACGCCGACTGGAACAACATCGCCTACTCCGCCGACATCGTCCACAACAAGGTGGAGCAGTTCGACGAGCCAACGCTGTTACCGTGAGTAGCGAAAGTCAGACTGTCCGATCATCACGGAAAAGCTACATGCTGTATATTCCATATTCTACCATACTGCCACCTATAAAAAGTCCGTTTGGCTCAAAAGCGGACCGATGAATTACAATCTAACTCGAAAACTAATAAACATAACATACTCAATGAAACGCTGATCATAATCAAAACATCATACCCACTCTGTGAGGTTTTTGCAGAATGTTTGTCCTAAAAAAAAAGAAAGTTGTTTAACAAACTATCATTAAAATTTTGACACAGTTCACTGTTTGTTACGAGGGAGGAGTGCAGAGAAAGGGACAGCCAGGTGTTCGAGAAGCACGTTCACAGACAAAGTTATTTATTCATTAACCCGTGCTGTGCCGTCTCAATCCGTTCTCGAACACCTGGCTGTTGATGTTTTGATTATGATCAGCGTTTCATTGCGTATGTTATGTTTATTAGTTTTCGAGTTTGATTGCAATTCATCGGTCCGCTTTTGAGCCAAACGGACTATACACAAAACGTGGTGACCAAAACGATACTTCTCACATTGAAGACTGTGGTTAACACGTGGGTACAGTAGATGACATCTCAGACCACCCAACCTCTGTCCCGTTCACTGACCCGTCCATACTCCAATTACCAAACCCACACCACATCACTTCACCCCCTCTTGATCGAAAGGGAATTCCCTATGTTATATCCTATAAGTAACCATGCTTACATTATGCCAAACGTGCAGCTGCAGTTGTAAGAGAGTGATGTTGGCGTATAATACAGATTACTAACATGAAGTGTCGTAAAATCCTTCAGTAGATGTCTGGCTGGGTGTACTTCCACGTGTTGGCGCTTCGGTAATCACAGCTCCCATACTCTGATATAGACTCTACGCTAAGATCGTTTTACGCAAATGAGTGAGTTGTGTTTTACGCCGCTTTGAGCAATATTCCAGCAATATCACGGCCGGGGACACCAGAAATGGGCTTCACACATTGTACCCATGTGGAGAATCGAACCCAGGCCTTCAGCATGACGAGCGAACGCTCTAACAACTTGGCTACTCCACCGCCCATGTGCAAGTGGGCGCTGTTTATATACTACCCATAAAAAGTTTAGACTCACTTAAAGAACTCACTATATGTTATGTATATCTATATGGTTACATCAAAGATGAATTTCTCTATAACTTGGGGGAAACAACTGCTAACCTTATGCAGATATGTTGCAAGAGGATCATGCATTAAATTGCTGAAAAGCATGTGCAATATCGTGCATGTAAACAGCTTAGTTTTGGTGTTGAGTGTTGTTAAGAATTCGCCAATTTACACTTAGTTTCACCATGTATTGAACTCGACAATAATCTTTACAACGCTACGAATTTGTTTTACAGTACATCAGTTCATGTATGAACAGTACCTTTAAACAGTATGGAAAAGTTTTCAAAATCCAGTTTAGAAAAGTTGACTAAAGGTAAGTGGTTACATTTACACTAGTGAGTCTAAGCTTTTGATGGGGAGTATACTAGTAGCTGGATAACGTATTTTCAGGATCATCCAGGAGATAGCTCCAGCTGCCGGCGTCTACAGTAACGCCCAAGACATGGCGAAGTGGCTTCGCTTTCATCTCAACTCGGGAAAGGTAGGCTTCTACAAGGCTACTCGACATACGATCGAACCTGGTTTACAGCTGACATTGTTCGGATGAACGAATTTCCCGTTACAAAATCAAGGTCAGGAAGTAATACGTCATTCCCAGCAGTAACCGTCGACAAGATAGGGGAATCAACGGGGTGTTGGGATTGAAAAGCGCCGGACAAACGGATGCCACGGTTGTTGAAATTTCGTTGACGCTGACGCAGACTTCACTCACTCACTTTACAATTTTCATGCACAAATGTTGTTTTCCATATTCAAAAGAATTTAAAATTTCAGGGTATATACTTACGGACAAAAAAGAAACTGTTCTTCATAAAGAAATGAGAGGAAAATATATTTATTCCTGAATTCAATTCAAACAGCGTGTTTGTGTAATGTAAACAGCAAACAGTGATTTTCTATCTGTCAGGTGCTCATTGAAAGCACTTCTGCTAGCTGAAAATCAACATCAAAGCGCAAATCGAAGTTGCCAGACATTTAATTGTTCATCAAAATATACTGTGATCTCTTTTGAAAAGTGGGACAGCGGGGTAGCCTAGAGGTTAAAGCGTTCGATCGTCACGCCGAAGACCCGTGTTCGATTCCCCACATGGATACAATGTGTGAAGCCGATTTCTGGTGTCCCCCGCCGAGATGTTGCTGGAATATTGCTTAATACGGTGTAAAACCATACCTACTCGCACGCTTTGAAAAGCGACGCAGGTCTTCGACATGGAGAGTCCTCAGTACCCGGTGTGTCTCTTCTGAGGGTAGTTAAAAACAAAACGAGCTTTTTCCACGAGCTGACTTACACGGGGACCGCGTGTCTTGTTGTCACGTGTGACCAGGCTGTGTTTCTCTGTTGATTAAACACACGCTTGTCTCGCCCAGTTTCAAACACTTACAACCCTTCCCAGTGTATATATCCATAATATTGGGTGCGGAGTAACCGACGTTCGGTTGTATTTCAGAACGAGCAAGGACACCAGGTGGTCGGTGCGCAGGCTCTGCAGGACACCTACCACCCGAACACCGCCTGGTATACCACTTACCTCACCCGGGACACCTTCCCCGTCGACGACCTCATCTACTCCTACGCCATGGGCTGGAGGAACGGCGTGTACAGAGGTCAAGTGACACACAAATCGATTGCGCGTTTGTTCCTCTCAGGGCAATTAACATACTTCTTTTCTTGATTGCATAAAAGTTAACTTGGGCGTACAATCCGTCTTTTTTAACAAATGAATAGTTAACAACCGACCATGGCGTGACAAATGTATATGTATATACAGGTAAGTGTAACTGCTCCCAAACACACGAGATACTGGGCAGGCATAAATATATATGTCAAGGACAGAGAAAACCCGTCTATCCATGAAGTAGATTACACTTCGATAAAAAAAACCCCATAAAATAACTGTGAAAATTATATGAATGGACCACTGACAGTCCCCCATGACATCGGGTGTTCTCTAATAGATGTTATTGTTTGAGAATTTATTGAACACCTCTTTAACAAGCAAATTTAAGACGGAGTTAAATAAAACTCCGCGATGAGTTTTGCTATTTGGCTCTAAAGGAACGCCATTTATCCGATACTTAACTTCGATACAAGCGGTATAAGGTCTTCGTGAAATTCGACCTATGTATCTATTCATTCTGATATCTTGTCTAAAAGAACACATCCCTGATTATGTTACATAAAAATCTTTTAAATTATCCTCATTTTGTATAAATTTCAGTTCAGGTCGTTACAATGTCTTATCTTGTAGGTTACAAGAAGAATCTCCACATGGCCGCCTACAACGGCTACCAAGGGACGCTCACGTTCCTGCCTGAAGTCGGCGTCGGTGTATGGGCTCACCTCTCCGGCGCTGCCAACCACAGGGGCTTCGACGCCAGGAACACCGTCATCATGTACAGCCTTGACCTCATGCTGGGTAAATCCAACTCCTGAAGATCAGATGCATCCTAATGTCGACCTGTATCTACATGACTATTTACAAACTCTAACGTACCTGTAAACACATGCTTGTGGCTTCAAACACAAACATAGGCCAACCCTCAGGATTCAGTACCTATTCTTACACCTTCCCACTATAAGCTTTAATGGCAGGTTGCAGTTGGGTAGTCCAGTGGCTAAAGCGTTCGCTCGTCACACCGAATGCCCGGGTCAGCTTCCCCGCATGGGTAAAATGTGTGAAATCCCATTTCTGGTGTCCCCAGCCGTGATACCGCTGGAATATTGGTAGAAGCGGCGTATCACCCAACTCACTCACTTTAATGACCATCACGAGTTACTGACGACCTATTACGCAGATTCTCTCCGGGAATCAAGTGTTACAGGAACAACTTGTAAACTTGATCAATCAACTACAGCAAACTGCTACTACACTCCTTTTATACCAACAATACTCCTGAGTTACACATTTGTGGTTCCAATAGTACTAACAGAATGTAAGTGGTACATCGGCGTGGAATAGTTCGCATAAAGGCGCCATCTTCGCGGAATTTGGCTGCAGCAAGTGCTTCATGCAGTTGGTTATTTGGTAATGATTTTCTCTGGTCAAGCCAAACCAGTTGTCGGCAAGAACCCCCATGTTGGGGAGCATAATGTCTCAAGTCTTAGGTCATGAAGGACACGTTGTCTGTGGTTAAGTCATCTCATTACGCATTGTCAGACTATAGTACAGACACGTTTAGTTTCGAAGTTATTTCATATTTGTTTGATTGCTAATTCAGCTAAAGGCCATTTAATACATTTCCAATGTAATTAATACGTATGAAAACGTATATCTCACACACAATTAGTGAATAGCACCTACCTGTAGAATAGGTCTTCAGCAACCCATGCTTGTCGCAAGAGTCGACTTACAGTATCGGGTGTTCAGACTTGGTTGATGCCTGAATCGTCTGGTCAAGACTCGACTATAGTAGGATTATTGATGAGTGAGTGTGTGAGTGAGTGAGTTTGGTTTGACACCGCTTTTAGCAATATTCCAGCAAAATCATGGCGGGCGACACCAGAAATGGACTTCACACATTGTACCCATGTGGAATTGAACCCGGGTCTTCGGCGTGACGAGCAAACTCATTATTGATGAATGCGGCGTTATACATTTAACAAATACATATTAACACTGATATTTCGTGATGAAGGCAACGAGATCTGGTTGAACTCGAGCACTGCCTGCTCCTTCCCGTCACCGTGGTTGCAGGAGGATGCCGTACCTCCAGCCCCTACCGTCCCTGAATATGTACGTCCCAGCGTCGCCATCAACACCACCGAGTATATTGGCAAATACCACCACCCAGCGTTCGGTACGCTGGAGATCTTCCACGACGACGTCAGTGGCCATCTGCTTGGCTATAGGTGAGCGTCACCATTCATTCTCACCGTTGTTAGTACTCAGTTCCAATTAACGCCGTGTAGTATGAACGTGACAGGAATTATTCCATTCCTTCTTTACAGATATGGAGAGCTACTAGTCGGATACTTAAAAGCCAAGGGAGGTAATCGCGAGGACTTTATCCAGTATAATACAGGTCCCTTTGCTAATGTCTCCTGCTGAGGAAGACCCGAACGTTTTTAGCGTCAAATTCAACCGAAATGTTTCTGGCGCTATAGAGAGCGTACAGTTCCACTCATTTCGAGTCTTCCCTGCCCCCAGTGTTCAATATCGTGGAAGTGAAGACAGGAAACAACACTGTGATGTCTGAAGCTTGTGGTGCTCCACCATCACCTCCACCAGTAACTTCAGGGCCAACTTCCGGGTCGTCTCACTTCCGGCCTTGTAAGGAGATTGTTTCATTTTCCTTTGTTTACCTGGCACTGTTTAAAATGTATTGCTTGATATAAACAATACTTCTAAATTTATTCTCCTACTTAGTTATTATATTTCATAATACATTTTTATAATACACCGACAATATTTAGTTGATAGAAAGCCATGTTTATGCATGATATTTGGTCTACGATCATGTAAACACTTTGCTTAGTCATGTTAACATTCTTATGTAGTTACATTTTCTTTGCAAAGGGGTCTCGTTTGTATTTTTCTTTCCGATGTATCATACTATTGGTTTATTCCATAATCAAAATATATCAGGTTCATTGATAATTTATTTTTAGCCATCATGAACATTTTCCAAGATGCAGTGTACATATTAAGAAATATTGTTGTCAATCATTGTATTCAGTATCTTGTGTATTTGACATAAATTCTTTACACATTTTTTCTTTCTTTTTTTTAATTCATATACAGGAATTGGTATTCAAGTAGGTCTTATATAATCAGTAAAAATTGCATTCGTGCATATGAGTAGACAGGCGCCCAGTTCAACAACCTGGAGCAGTGCATGGAAACTACAGAACCTGTTTCCCATTAACTATGGACATCCGTTTTCTTAACCACTGTGTTGTGTGATGAAGCTGACCAGAATGCTTCATCCCTAATCACGATAAGGCTGCAATATTGCCGATCTGACGTTAAATAATAACTCACTCACTCATCCCTAACACTCACTATACCTCCTCCATCACTGCTGCATACATAGACTTCTTGTAGTGTCCTGTCCATTGTTCCTGTGTTGAATTATTGCTGGTGCTTCATGTTGTTGTTTTTCACACATATACCCCATGTGAATTCAGTGATATTATTTCACAAAAACATATTGCGATATTAAGTGACAGAATATTTGACATTTATTAAGCTTCATATAAACATATTTTGATACGATATATAAACAGGTGTATTTACAGCATTCATATTTAACAGAGTGTATATGTTCACATGAATCTTCTCATACATGATAATGAAACTGATAACCAATTCAGCAAAAAATATTGCACGTATCAAATAGGTGACTGACAATTTGGCAAAACACAGAAGCAAGCACTAGCAGGTGACAATGTGTGGCTGGGAGCACTACACAAAGATACATCCACATCTTACAGGTGCCCTGGAATTTTCCTTCACCACACAATTTATGTTTTCGCAAAGATATTTCAAAGAACATCCTGTGTGTCCAGTTGACGATGTGCTTGACGACCTTGTTCACCAAAAAATAACTATGATGTTATGAAAATAAGAATCAATTTTGGTAGAATATGTTTTCTTAAAGTGACAGTACTTACTTAGAGTTACTGAGAATCGGGTATGTATAAGTTAACCGGGTGTAAAAAAACCCAAAACCTTGGAGTCAACTTTGTGTGCAGACTCTTTCCGTGTTGTCACAACCCCTAGTGTACAGTACACAACCCTGTGCACTTAAAAGAACCCACGAATCCTTTGGTATATGACCAGATGGTGGCAACATGAATACGTGCAAAACACCTTGTTGCGGGTACAGCAATGTGCGGTAAACTTGGACAAAGTGCTGGGACTATGTGTCCCAGTCCATCCAGCTGTGAATTGGGTACCTCGTGAGGATGAGAGAGCCACAGTAAACTCGGTGCGCCTAGTGGCAGCAAGAGTTGTATACTCCCCAGGGAGTTGAGTATAAGGCGATGTGACGTTGAGATTGACTTCCAGTGATCGAGGGAAACAAATACCAGCGCCTTGAGCAAGCAATGGTTGCATGGATATGTGTGCTATATAGATATCCTATAATAATAATAATAACATGGAGACTTAATAGTCACCGACTTGTCAGATAAAGGGTAGTTTGTCATTGTGTAACACAAGAATGTAAACAATATCTGGTCAGGGTTGAAAGAGCTTAGGCTGCGTTTTAACAAATACAATTCAGGTCATGACCTGAGATGCAGTGTTTATTGTAAACCTACAACTATTCCATATATAGCACAGTGACAAAGGCCAAGGGTTCCTTTATATTTCATCATCATGATCCACATCAATAGTCCCACAACCATGGTTATCCAGTGCAAATTAGATTCACTGGAAGCACTCATAAAATATCCATCATCTACCATGGCTAACTTCCATTAACTGTTGAAGGAGTATCTTAATGGCAAATCATCCATGTGTGGACTGGTCACTGATGGAACACTTCAAGCCTAAATCAATTGGACCTTTATCGATTAGAATAAAAAGGTGTGCATTTTATGCATTAATCTGCAGTTTGTCCATGTAGTTGCTTTACTTGTTTCATGCACAGGACATCTAAAGGTGAGAATCTCTGTAACTGACCTGCAGAAAATCCTACCACTCCAAACAGACCCAGAATGAGTTAAACCTTCAGAGTGTTAATCCTCAGCATAATCCCACCATACAGCCAAGCATGGGTTACCCATCTAGTCTGAGCATCTTCATATCTGAACATATCGATCTGCAGTATAATCCTGCCACTCCAGACAGACTACAGCGGACTAACCCATCTAGTGTGACCGAGCTATACTGGAGAAGAACTCGAGTACATCATCAATGCTAAAGTCCAGGGTGATCTGCATGTCGGGGTAGCACTTCTTGCTCAGGTCGTCGTAGTGCTTGTACTGCTTGATGAACTCGTCCTGCATCTCACGCCACACAACCTACACGCAAACAGAACCATCAGACACACCTGTTACAAAATACCTGCTGCTGACACTCCAATACAATATTTACATAAGAAGCTAAACATTATAGATATCCATTCTCAGTCCACTATTCAGGAGATATGTTCACTGAATCAAAAGAAGTAAGTAAACAATTTACAAAAATATAGTCCAACAAAATCATTTCACTGTCCTTAAAGGACTTCAAGTGAACTTCCTTCCTAGTAAGTCTTATCAAGAAGTTCGGTAATCAGATAGTTCAGATCTAACATTGGGTGATAAACAGAAGTCATGTATATTCAACTCAAGGGGAAGTAACCTCTCCTAAGGGGAGACAACTACCTCTAGCAGGTGCTCCTCCTCGCTGAGCTGCTTCTCCACCTTCTTGTTGAGGTGTTCCAGGTTCTTCTTCACCTGGACAAAAAATAATAAAAAATCAAAAACGTGAACGATTCTGTGCTAGATCTACTGTCAAAGTATCAAATAACATTCATTTTCCAATCTGTGAATACTACATGTCTGCATAACAATATTAAAGATGGTCTCCCCAAGAAGAAGGCGGCCTAATCATCTAATGTTCAAACACGCATATCTGGAGGCAGTATTTACCCCCATTATCATAATGGTCAAATACAACAAATCTTAACCCACAACAACAAGTGAGTCTATAAAGTATTTAAGTTATGACAGCCATAGCATTGAGGTTTTTGTGGAATGTCTCTGGTTCGAGGGAGACTTGCAGATCAAGTTCCAGCACCACTGACCTCCTTCCCAGGGTACTCCTTGATGACTTTACGCAGCTCCTGTTTACTGAAGGCCAGCTGGAAGCCCACTTCCTCGGGCTTCACACCACTGGCCACACGCTTCTCAACACCCTCGAAGAAGATCTGCAGAGACAGAGCATGTTAACCTGGTGCATGTACAAGCTCTTTCACACACTTTCTCTGTTCTGGCTGATGAAGAACAAATTCTGACAATTCTGAGAAATATCTGCAGAAACAACTGCACTTAATGTAAATCAATACGGACAGCAGCATACTGACCTCAAGTGACATAGATAAACATGGTATGTGCAAACAAGAACCTTTGACCAGCATTAAGTTAGTGAGTTAGTGAGTTTAGTTTTACGCCGCACTCAGCAATATTCCAGGTATATGGTGGCGGTCTGTAAATAGAGTCTGGTCCAAACAATCCAGTGATCAACAGCATGAGCATCGATCTACGCAATTAGGATAAAATGACGTGTCAACTAAGTCGACGATCCTGACCACCCGATCCCCTTAGTCGCATCTCACGACAAGCATGGCTTACTGAAGATCAATTCTAACCGGGATCTTCACGGGTACAAGCATTAAGTCTTTGCTTGGCATATAGTAGGTAGGACATAAAATCAAAGAACAACAGCCTGGTCAGAGCCGTTTTCAGCTGCTTTATCCCACTTCATCACTTGAAATGATGAAGGGACATTAAACAAGCATTAACTATCAAAAAGAAATCCTGATCCAAGTTTCAGGTTTTCATGTCCTGTTCAATACAGAGACACCACTGAACAAGCAATGAACCAGTGAGTGCTCAGTTGAATTGCTGAAATATTTATCCTTCATAAACCCGAATTCATTTTCAAATCAGTATGAATAACCACATTAACAAATTTCTACTTAAAAAATTTCTAACATAAACTGAAGCTAGCTTAATGAACCTTCTTGTATAACGTAATGTGTAGGCATTTGAGGCTACTGTGGCTGATGGTGAAACTCACCATGAGACTGCCTTAGGTTATGTGGATTCTTGAAGGTCTCTTCCTGCTTACTGTGTCACTAGCAAAGCATGACATTACATTTTATGTCAGTGACAGTGACTGTGTTATGTGGGGCACTCACATGTAGTTTCTCTAGGGGGCGACCCAGCAGTGTGGTGGTGTAGGTCCGAAGGTTGTCCCAGTATCGCTGCTTGGCGTCCTTCCGCTCGTTCTCCAGACAGGACAGCTTCAGCTGGGACAAAATGGCTGCGGGGACAGGAAGATCATTATCTTGTTGTCAACTGAGACCAAGTTGTGTGTCAGTCAACTGAGACACACCATAGAAACACTCCAACATTTAGTAACCATATAACATTCTAGTTTTCACACCCACGTCATCACTTATTTCATCGTTGTGTTGATAAATTAATTAACATTACTGAAGGTACTGCAAATAACAATAACATCTCTCGAATCTGATTAAAACTAAATCAAAATCTATCATACTTACAATACATTCTGTGGAAGTTTTCTGGAAAATATAAAGAATAAATGATGAATCAAAACGATCAACAAAACAAATTGGCATAAATTATACGGAACCTTCAAAGATTTTTCTTTACACTTTGGGAAAAGTTAAGAATCTCAAAATGACCTGAGCCATTGGTTAAGAAAGAGAAGCTGCCAGGTCCCCTGACAATATGCATAGCATGTTGTGGTCTTGTCGATACAGATGAGATGACACCTACCCATCATGACAACCTCCCTCGGATTCTTCTGTTGCTCTGTTGCCACTGGATCTATCTGCTCAAATATAACCTGCACCAGTTTAGCTGAAGCCTCTCCAGATCTGCATGCATGCATCTGAGCCCTTGAAGATTCGGCCAGCCAGGTTGGCAAAGTCCTGCAACACAGTAGTAGCCTCAGGTCTATATGTCTGACAAAGTGCCACAAGATAAATGAATGTCTTTTGAGTGTTCCCATTTCTTTGGCATTCTGACATCTTTATAGTGAAACTGAAATGGATTCTTTAAGGCAGTGCCAAAACCAACCCATTCACCAATCCTTTAATGTAGATAACAGCAATGAATCATAACACATTTAGTTCATGGCAGCCACTAAACCATTAGACCCGTGAAGATCCGAGTTAGAATTGGTCTTCAGCAATCCATGCTTGTTGTAAAACGCAACTAACAGGATAGGGTGGTCAGGTTCACTGACTTGGTTGACACATGTCATCGTATCCCAGTTGCGTAGATCGATACTCTTGCTGTTGATCACTGGATTGTCTGGTCCAGACTCGATTATTTCCCAACCACCGCCATATAGCTAGAATGTGGTGTTAAACATCAACCCAATGAACCAAGCAACCAACAGGTTATAGTGGAGTATGCATCAAGTAATAATGTCATCATGTCGTCATCTGGGTGTATGACACACAACCAGTCAGGTCATACAATGAACCAACCACTTTATGGCAGCACGAGTACAAACCTATCATACTTCATACTTAAGGCTTCAGACAAATCAGTGTTTCTGACACTCTACCCATCTGGGACTCTCTGCATAATTCTTCACCCTGGCCTTCAAGACCTACCTCAAAGTTGTGGACAAAGCTGATGATCCCACATCTGTTCTTCTTGGACACTTTCGTCTCCTCCACTCCCCGAATCTGGACTTGCTGAAAACCCAAACACATGACATACATAGTCAACATGGTCAATCTCCCCACACAGACAGCCTTTCAATATTTCATAAAATATTCACAAATATTCACTTCCTGCCATCATGCTATCCTCATTAATCTGTTGACAATAGATGCCAATTCAGGCATTTCATCAACCAACCTGTCCAAACTTGATGGCTGTAGATACAACTGATTAAATGTTAACAGGCTTTGTTTTTACTTACAATGTACTTGTCGAAGTTGCGCTTGACCTTCACAAGGCAGTTGCCGAAAGTCTTGCTGAGGAAGGACCCCATGTCCTGCGAGTGGTTGACGTGGGCGCTCAGTTTCACCAGCATGTACATGGAGTTTCTGGAGTCATATGGACATGTGGGGGAGTGAGAGAGCCATGTGGAAATGAGTGAGTAAGTGATATATTGGCATGGGGGTCAGCGAGTGAGTGATATGGACATGAGTGAGTGAGTCATATTGGCATGGGGGTGAGTGAGCGAGTCATATGGACATGAGTGAGTGAGTGATATTGGCATGGGGGTGAGTGAGTGAGTGATATTGGCATGGGGCGAGTGAGTGAGTGAGTCATAATGGTATAGGGGTGAGTAAGAGTCATAATGGCATGGGGGTGAGTAAGAGTCATAATGGCATGGGGGTGAGTAAGAGTCATAATGGCATGGGGGTGAGTAAGAGTAATGTGGACACAAAAAGCAAGTTTAGCTGGATCTAAAGGGTGTCCAGAGGTCACTTACAGTCCATCCCTCTGGTCAGCGAAGACGAAGAAGTTGTCAAGATCCGTCTCGAGAGTGGGGAACAGGGCAGCCATCATGCTCCTACAACATCAGATGTCGCAGAAATACAGTTGCTTAATGGTAATATAATACGACATTGAAGGCATATTGTTGTTCCAAGAAGTCAATTTAGATACCTCTTATGAATACAGTCTTAGAGAATATCGGCCAAATTATCACATGGTGTCAAATAGTTTTCAGCCATGTATCTTCACAGAATCACCCGCACAGTTTGGAACTCATAACAATTATTGGAAATGTCAGTATTTTAGTGAACAAGCAGACACTGAATCAATGAATGCAGCTCATAATATAACATTATCCATTATATGATACCTCTATCCATTACATAACACTATCCATCATATGATACATCTACCGGTATCCATTATTTGATAATACTATCCATTATATGATACCTATATCCATTATATAACACTATCCATTATATGATAACACTATCGATTATATGATACCTCTATCCATTATATGATACCACTATCCATTATATGATACCTCTATCCATTACATAACACTATCCATTATATAATACCTCTATCCATTATATGATACCACTATCCATTATGATACCACTATCCATTATATGATACCTCTATCCATTACATAACACTATCCATTATATAATACCTCTATCCATTATATGATACCACTATCCATTATATGATAACACTATCCATTATATGATACCTCTATCCATTATATGATACCACTATCCATTATATGATACCTCTATCCATTACATAACACTATCCATTATATGATACCTCTATCCATTACATAACACTATCCATTATATGATACATATATCCATTATATAACACTATCCATTATATGATAACACTATCCATTATATGATACCTCTACCCATTATTTGATACCTCTATCCATTACATAACACTATCCATTATATGATACCTCTATCCATTATATGATACCACTATCCATTATATACCACTATCCATTATACCACTATCCATTTTATGATACGACTATCCATTATATACCTCTATCCATTACAAAACACCATCCATTATATACCACTATCCATTATATGATACCACTATCCATTATATGATACATTATATGATACCACTATCCTTTATATGATACCACTATCCATTATATGATACCACTATCCATTATGTGAAACCTCTATCCATTACATAACACTATCCATTATATGATACCACTATCCATTATATGATAACACTATCCATTATGTGATACCACCATCCATTATATGATACCTCTATCCATTACATAACACTATCCATTATGTGATACCACTATCCATTACATAACACTATCCATTATATACCACTATCCATTACATGATGCCACTATCCATTACATAACACTATCGATTATATGATACCACTATCCATTATATGATACCACTTTCCATTATATGATACCACTATCCATTATGTGAAACCTCTATCCATTACATAACACTATCCATTATATGATACCACTATCCATTACATAACACTATCCATTATAGAATACCACTATCCATTATACCACTATCCATTTTATGATACGACTATCAATTATATACCTCTATCCATTACAAAACACCATCCATTATATACCACTATCCATTATATGATACCACTATCCATTATATGATACATTATATGATACCACTATCCATTATATGATACCACTATCCATTATGTGATACCACTATCCATTATGTGAAACCTCTATCCATTACATAACACTATCCATTATATGATACCACTATCCATTATATGATAACACTATCCATTATGTGATACCACCATCCATTATATGATACCTCTATCCATTACATAATACTATCCATTATATACCACTATCCATTATATACCTCTATCCATTACATAACACTATCCATTACATGATGTCACTATCCATTACATAACACTATCCATTATATGATACCACTATCCATTATATGATACCACTATCCATTATATGATACCACTATCCATTATATCATACCACTATCCATTATATGATACCACTATCCATTATGTGAAACCTCTATCCATTACATAACACTATCCATTACATGATGCCACTATCCATTACATAACACTATCCATTATATGATACCACTATCCATTATATGATAATAAACTAGTTACCTCACTGCATCATTGATCTGCCTCCTGGAAAAAGAAAAGAGTCTGTGTGAAACCTGATCACAGAGCATTGGTATCTTCATTACTACCGTGGTGTGATGATTCATCATACCGACAATCTCTTTTACATCACAGAAACAAAACTTAGTATTAAACACTCAGCAAACAGAGAGTTAACTCCATTTTAAACATTCACTATCAGCCCAAATGGATTTACATTCAATTTTTGAATTCAAAGCAGTTGATCATCACACTAATTAACACCGCATGACTTATCGATATTATTTGGCTGACATATTCAACCATACTATCAATACTTGACATTAACTGAATCCACATGCTATCATACTCTTGGTTTACCTTCTCTCCTCACCAATCAGCGTGGGGCAATCAATGCCTCCAAGTGCTGCATTAGACTACAACAGCCAGGCCAGTACACTCATCACATTACAGTTCAATAAACAAAATCCTGCTGCACAAAACAAATCTCAAAAGCTAAAATATAAAGAGAATTCAACAATCTGACAAAGAGAATCAACTGATGCTACAAGGGCAAGGCTATGTGTAGAGGATAAATGCTGGGCAGGAATGGAAATAGCTAAACAAGTGAAAAAGCAAATAAAAAATACTAAAAAGAGAAATCAGAACTGAAAATAATAATCAACAAATACTGATAACATTGACAAGCTATTCCTCCAAGTATTAAAGCAAAGGTAACTATGGAGAGAAAAAACAAATCAGCATCAGCAGCACGGTGCTGGAAGTGTGGCAAACAAAGAACAAAGATGTATCATCAACATGCATCACGAGGTCACAATGTAAGAAACTCATAAAGTATACGAGTGATACCCCCTCCCCCTTCCCCAACACACAAGGCAGACATGCAGCGTCAAAGGCCCCGAAGCCTTGCAGGCTTCTACCCATCAAGTCTTCTTGGTATATAGCAGATGATTCTAGCACCAAACAGCCATAACACACCTTGATGTTCATTGTACATATGTCGTAGCTTTATACAATGGTAAGGTAGCCATATCACATGCGTCTATGTGGCCAGTACAAACTATATTTTCAACACAAGATGGCAAGTGTTCATGGCTTAGTGTGTGTACAAACTGGAGTAGGTTTTAAAGATGACAATGTCCATACATCGCAATGCTCATGTATACAATACACACATCAAATCCCAGCACAGACACTATGTCCATAACCCCAGACACTACACACGGGGTCATGTACATCGTTAATACATACACATTAGTAATATCAGCAAGCAGACATTACACTTATCACAGACACAAAGACATATAGGAAATTGCAAGTCAGCAGTGTGATGATGAGGTGATGAAGATTATTGCTGACTCAGCATTCACGTACAGGCAGATCCAGGGTGGATTTTGGACCTCATTCTTTTATTTGGGTCCAGGTGTTAGTTTTCAATGGTGAACTTAAGACTTGGGGCATGGAACAAACATCTGAGTATAAGCATTCAGTACAGTCTGAACACATAAAAATACTCATGTAAATCAAAACCTAATGACAGGTCAAATTTGACTCTATTGCTCATGCAGCAATAGGACATACAATCTCCGATTAGGCTAGCTATAATAGCACTAGCCTTGAGACTGTTTAGACATGAAAACTAAGAATCTGGACTTCAAATCACTTGTTATTTTAAAACACATATTCTTGTTGGCTTTCTTTTGTAGATAAAGTTTACCACTTTTTCAAACAAATGTCTACTTTCTGGTGACACATTCAAATTTATTCATCCATTTAAAGAGGTTGGATACCGTGGTTTGTGCGCATGCCGTCGGGATGTGACAGTAGGAGTATGTATTTATGTTACGCAGTTATTTCCCTTTATCTTGCATCTAATCGTACTTCATGATATTTTGGCCACACAAGCATTATTCTGATGTAAACCTGGGCAAGAGTTATCTCCCCTTATCAAATTTAATTCGGGTATGCTGTTTTAATTGGAGATAATGTTGATACCCTCTGGTAACATAATTTTTTTATTTTTGAATATTAATCTAGTGTGAATTTACTATATAATTTTTTTTATAAAAAAATGTGTTATTATAAATAAATCTCTTTTTCATTAATGATTCAATATTTTGTTTAAATTCCTGTTTTTTCAGAAGTTAATTAATGTGTCAAATCCTACATACTGCCTTGAAAATTGATTTTCCAGCTTTATTTCATATCAATACTGAAAAATCTTTATAAAAAACACACATTGAATAATAAAAGTAAACAATTTACTTTTAAGAGAACTTTTATTGACATATCACTTTTTACAGACGGTGCCACAAGGGGGCGTCACTTGTCAAACAAATACCATGGTGACTTGCTATTTTTATTATATAATTAGATTCGGGACCCATTTTTCTACACAATGATACCAAATTTAGCAATTTCTTGACATTTAGTATGCAACCTCCTTAAAAAAGATTAACAGAGATTAATGTTTAGTTCCAAGCTAGTCTATAGAAAAGTCCTGTTCAGTTATGTATCTGTTCCACTGCCCTACAAGGGAGTATGAAGATGGGTTGGGTGGTGATTCCAATCCCCTGTATCTGCTAAGCAAATGTCAGACAAAAAAGTCAGTATGATGCAAGGACAAGTTTATGGATCTCCACAACTGTGTTGCAATGGGAAAATACAAAGAAGCGAAAAATGAAAGAAAGCTGGCAAACCCTCATCACAGTGCACAGTTTCAAACAGAATACACTCACAACATGTGCTGCTGAAATCTGGGTAGGAGGTTTGGGTTGCATGTTTCTAATCCACCCAAAAAGCAAATGGAGGACAAACTGTAAACCATGGTAACCAGATAGGCTGACAACACAGTACTTACAATTATGCTTGTGGATCGCTTTTTGCAGCAACCCTTCCCCTAGATTCTCCATAAAGTAATCCCTAAAAAGAATGACCAAGTTCCCTTTATTACAAAATCCACAAACTACTTAATCCTTGACCTTGGATCTACCTGGAACCTGTCAATCACAAGGACCAACAGGCAACTTCAGCATGATTGAGTCAATGTATGACAATGTTAAATGATGTTATTGTTTATGATAGGAACAATCAAGGCTTACAGTTCAGTGACACCATATGGTTTACAGCTGTAGACGATGAGCAGTTGACTGGGGAATATTACTTTCCTGTTAGTACCAGGTAATCTAAACAGATACCTGTCAAAGTTTGCCTTTCTACGTACAATAAAAAGAATTTAAAAAAAAAAAAAAAAGAACTTTGCATTACATTTTATTTTGCTAGGTGTGTGCCAAACTTAAAACAGTAAAAAAATAAGAAAAATATGTCAGGGTGACAAAACAATTTCTCTTGTCTGCAATAATAAGGATTGCTTTGACAATAAAATGACAATGAAATCCCACTTTCATATTTGAGACGCATAATATTTCACAGGACCAAAACCTAAATTTTCAAAAAATGATTTTCACCTGTTGAAAAAGAGCCTCTAAATCTATTTTTCTCTGTTCGGCAAAATGACAAAATATTCACCAGTACAATCTCTAAACAAAAAGATTTGAATTTGTTGATGAAAGATTACTTCCCAATATGGCTGTAGAAATATTTCCTGTAGTTGCACGCTAAGTTGTTCCTTGTAAAGTTCTCCCAACATGGTGTACTGTATTACCTCAGGAACCCATATCAACTCAGAAGCATCGTATGCAAACCATGTGTAACATTTTAATCACTGACGCCTCCTAAACTGTCTTTAAGCTGCTCGGCCTAGACTTTCGAAGCTCTCTTAGCTCTAAGATATTTGTTAGTGCCATACACTAACATTAACTTACGACTTCCTTAGCTCTAAGAGAGCACTGAAAATCTAGGCCCTGATTGATATGAATCCTTATGTTAATAATGGTTAACAGAACAACACATTTCAAGATTAGTTAGAAAATTAAGCAGTTTCCAAACTAGTCTTCTATAATCATGATAATAAACATTAAATTAATATTTATCAGAGATGTTCATGATGTTAAAGAAAGCAGAGAAAATACATCACAAGATTACAGTGGTCAGTTGGATTATGAAAGCTTTCATGAGTAACATAACCACAGGAGAAAAAGTACAGCTGCCCCGAGGCTTGCATGCATGCATGCATAAAGTAGAATGATCATTCTTGCATCACACAATGCTATACAGCAAACACTATCAGAGCACATAACTGGCATGCAACTAAAATATATCAACAGTAGTCTGTCCCACACTCTGATCTTCATGCACTTGTCAAATGCATAACGTTCACACATATTCGATAACATATTTTCCCAAGCTAGTTTAAGAAATACTGTTGTACCCATGTTGTCCTTGAAGTCACATTACCCATGGAAACTAGCAACGGGCCAAATGAATAAACTTTATGATGGTGTCTTCACAAGTAGTTACAGATGTGAAATATTTATAGATTTATATATTGCAAGTGAATTTATCAGAACCTCTGTGTTAACATTTGTATTAAAAAAAAAGGTTTTCATGGGATGGAATTCCAAGTCATTCCAATTCAATTATACAATGTATTTGAAAATAAAACATTTCCTACTTCCCTGGAATAATGATTTGTTAGCACAAGACCTTCACCTACTACCATGTCAACTATGCATGCCTTGGGTCACAGCAACCTGATAACATGTTCACTCAGAGGCAATCACGGAGTTAGATGCTTAATGGCATAAAGATTCAGTGTCAAGTTATGATTTTGCAATAATATGCAAATATTGCAATCTGGAACTGAGATCTTATCCAACCCCACACAGTACCTCCATGTCACCCCACCCCACACAGTACCTCCATGTCACCCCACCCCACACAGTACCTCCATATCACCCCCTAAAACAGTGCATTCCATGTCACCCCACCCCACACAGTACTTCCATGTCACTCCACCCCCCACACAGTACTCTCCATGTCACCTTCACCCCACACAGTACCTCCATGTCACCCCACCCCACATAGTACCTCCAAATCACCTAACACAGTACTTCTCCATGTCACCCTTAATTCTACACAGTACTCTCCATGTCACCCCACACAGTACCTCCATGTCACTCCCACTCCAACACAGTACCTCCATGTCACCCCACACAGTACCTCCATGTCACCCTACCCACATACACAGTACCTCCAAGTCACCCCTAATTCCCACACAGTACTCTCCATGTCACCCCACCCCACACAGTACTCTCCATGTCACTCCCACACAGTACCTCCATGTCACCCCACCTCTAACACAGTACCTCCATGTCACCCACACAGTACCTCCAAGTCACTCCCACCCCCACATTAGTACCTCACTGTCACCCCACTCCCACACAGTACCTCAATGTCACCCCACCCCACACAGTACTCTCCAAGTCACTCCTACCCTACACAGTACCTCCATGTCACCCCACACAGTACAATGTCACCCCCAGCCCCACACAGTACCTCAATGTCACCCCCACCCCACACAGTACCTCTCCAAGTCACCCCACTCCCACACAGTACCTCTCCATGTCACCCCACACAGTACCTCCAAGTCACCCCACCCCACACACAGTACCTCAATGTCACCCCACCCCACACAGTACCTCCAAGTCACTCCCACCCCACACAGTACTCTACATGTCACCCCACCCCACACAGTACCTCCATGTCACCTCACCCCACACACAGTACCTCCATGTCACCCCACCCCACACAGTACCTCCAAGTCACCCAACACAGTACTCTCCATGTCACCCCACCCCATTACAGTACCTCCATGTCACCCCACACAGTACCTCCATGTCACCCCACCTAACACAGTACTCTCCATGTCACTCCACACAGTACTCTCCATGTCACCCCACCCCACACAGTACCTCCATGTCACCCTGGCCCCACACAGTACCTCCAAGTCACCCCACCCCATATAGTACCTCCATGTCACCCCACACAGTACCTCCAAGTCACCCCCACCCTACATTGTGCACCTCAATGTCACCCCCACCCCACACAGTACCTCCAAGTCACCCCACCCCCACACAGTACCTACATGTCACCCCCACCCCCACACAGTACCTCCATGTCACCTCACCCCACACAGTACCTCCATGTCACCCCACCCCACACAGTACCCTCCAAGTCACCCAACACAGTACCTCCATGTCACCCCACCCCACACAGTACCTCCATGTCACCCCCACCCAACACAGTACTCTCCATGTCACCCCACACAGTACCTCCATGTCACCCCACCCCACACAGCACTCTCCAAGTCACCCCAACCCCTACACAGTGCACCTCCATGTCACCCCACCCCACACAGTACCTCCATGTCACCCCACACACAGTACCTCCATGTCACCCCACCCAACACATCTACCTCCATGTCACCCCACACAGTACCTCCAAGTCACCCCCACCCCACACAGTACCTCAATGTCACCCCACCCCACACAGTACCTCCATGTCACCCCACCCCACACAGTACCCTCCATGTCACCCCACCCTACACAGTACCCCCATGTCACCCCCACACAGTACCTTTTAATGTCACTCTCACCCCCACACAGTACTCCTCCATGTCACCCCACCCCACACAGTACCTCCATATCACTCCCCCAACAGTATCTCAATGTCACCCCACCCCACACAGTACCTCCATGTCACCCCACCCCACACCAGCACCTCCATGTCACCCCACCCCACACAGTAGTACCTACATGTCACCCCACCCCACACAGTACCTCCTCCATGTCACCTCACTCCCACACAGTACCTCCATGTCACCCCACCCCACACAGTACCTCCAAGTCACCCAACACAGTACCTCCATGTCACCCCACCCCACACAGTACCTCCATGTCACCCCACACAGTACCTCCATGTCACCCCACCCCACACAGTACCTCCAAGTCACCCCACCCCACACAGTACCTCCATGTCACCCCACCCCACACAGCACCTCCATGTCACCCCACACAGTACTCCATGTCACCCCACCCAACACAGTACCTCCATGTCACCCCACACAGTACTCTCCAAGTCACCCCACCCCACACAGTACCTCAATGTCACCCCCACCCCACACAGTACCTCAATGTCACCCCACCCCACACAGTACCTCCAAGTCACCCCCACCTCTACACAGTACCTCCATGTCACCCCACACAGTACCTCCATGTCACCCCACCCAACACAGTACCTCTCCATGTCACCCCACACAGTACTCTCCATGTCAACCCACCCCACACAGTACCTCCAAGTCACCCCACCCCACACAGTACCTCCATGTCACCCCACCCCACACAGTACCTCCATGTCACCCCACACAGTACCTCCATGTCACCCCACCCAACACATTACCTCCATGTCACCCCCACAGTACCTCCTAAGCCCTACTCCCACCCCACACAGTACCTCAATGTCACCCCACCCCACACAGTAGTACTCTCAAGTCACCCCACCCTACACAGTACCTCCATGTCACCCCACACAGTACCTCAATGTTACTCCCACCCCACACAGTACCTCAATGTCACCCCCACCCCACACAGTACTTCCATGTCACCCCACCCCACACAGTACTTCCATGTCACCCCACACAGCACCTCCATGTCACCCCACCCAACACAGTACCTCCATGTCACCCCTATCCCACACAGCACCTCCATGTCACCCCACACAGTACCTCCATGTCACCCCACCCCACACACAGCACCTCCATGTCACCCCACCCCACACAGTACCTCCATGTCACCCCACCCCCACACAGCACCTCCAAGTCACCCCACCCCACACAGTACCTCCATGTCACCCCACACAGCACCTCCATGTCACCCCACCCCACACAGTACCTCCCCATGTCAACCCACCCCACACAGTACCTCCAAGTCACCCCACCCCACACAGTACCTCCATGTCACCCCACCCCACACAGTACCTCCATGTCACCCCACACAGTACCTCCATGTCACCCCACCCAACACATACTCTCCATGTCACCCCACACAGTACCTCCAAGTTACCCCACCCCACACAGTACCTCAATGTCACTCCCACCCCACACAGTACCTCCAAGTCACCCCACCCTACACAGTACCTCCATGTCACCCCCACACAGTACCTCAATGTTACCCCCACCCCACACAGTACCTCCTCAATGTCACTCCCACCCCACACAGTACCTCCATGTCACCCCACCCCACACAGTACCTCCCATGTCACCCCACACAGCACCTCCATGTCACCCCACCCCACACACAGTACCTCCATGTCACCCCACCCCACACAGTACTTCCATGTCACCCCATCCCACACAGCACCTCCATGTCACCCCACACAGTACCTCCATGTCACCCCACCCCACACAGCACCTCCATGTCACCCCACCCCACACAGTACCTCCATGTCACCCCACCCCCAAACAGCACCTCCATGTCATCCACTACATATACTATGACTGTTACCTCGACCTATACATAGCCAACCATTCCTGGCATTCCCATGCTGTAAACATGCAGGCATCCATCAGTCTGAAGAAAGAAGAACACTGTCAGTTAAAGAAAGCAGCAGCCGCTTCTTCATACTTACTCTGCCACATTAGTTGGGTTTCTGAGAGTCCACACCTCACTGTCATCATCAGCACTTACATTGTGCTGACCTGGGGATCCCTGGAACACAAGCAGGTAACTCTAGTACTCGGAATATCAGGTGTGTAAGTTAGATCTCAGGTGTGTTACAGAATTTCATGTATTTAACAGAATTTAAGGTGTGTCACATGGAATCTCGGGTATGTGACTTACATCACAGGTCTGGTAGTCAGAATCCCATGTGTGTTACATAGAATCTAAGGTGTGTGACTTAGATCACTGGTGTGTGACTTAGATCACAGGTGTGTGACTTAGGGGTGTGACTTAGATCACAGGTGTGTGACTTAGATCACAGGGGTGTGACTTAGATCACAGGGGTGCGACTTAGATCACAGGTGTGCGACTTAGATCACTGGTGTGCGACTTAGATCACTGGTGTGTGACTTAGATCACAGGTGTGTGACTTAGATCACTGGTGTGTGACTTAGATCACAGGTGTGTGACTTAGATCACAGGGGTGTGACTTAGATCACAGGGTGTGACTTAGATCACAGGGGTGTGACTTAGATCACAGGGGTGTGACTTAGATCACAGGTGTGTGACTTAGATCACAGGGGTGTGACTTAGATCACAGGGTGTTAATTTAGATCACAGTTGTGCGACTTAGATCACTGGTGTGTGACTTAGATCACTGGTGTGTGACTTAGATCACAGGTGTGTGACTTAGATCACAGTTGTGTGACTTAGATCACAGTTGTGTGACTTAGATCACAGGTTTGTGACTTAGATCACAGGGGTGTTACAGAATCTCATGTGTGTTACACAGAATCTAAAGTGTGGCAAAAGGAATATCAGGTGTTACACAGGCTGTCAGGTGTGTTAAACAAAATTACAGTAGTGGTAGGTCATAGGTACATTACATCACATGTGTGTTACCCTACGTTTCAGGTGTGTTATATCACACACACTGACACACATCTAACAGCACCTGTGATAACAATACATGCCCTATGACAGTCCTATGTGCATCAAGGTATCAAGTAACACCCTTACCTTTGCATCTGACACTGATGGAGTCTTCTCCACCAGCTGGAAGAACTTGAAGCAGAAGTCCTGCTCCGCTACACACACACGCTCCAACTCACTCAGCACTTTCTCCAGGGTCTACAACACCACCACTTAGTGAGAGATGTATGTGTTAGGTTATCCACTTAAAGACATATTCCATTATCTGTGAGCATGATGCAATAGTACCTTTCTGATACTGTGATAGTTCAGTTCTCATAATGTAGTAGTTCAGTTCTGATAATGTAATAGAACGGCTCAGATAATGTAATAGAACAATTCTGATACTGTAATAGAACAGCTCAGATAATGTAATAGAACAATTCTGACACTGTAATAGAACGGCTCAGATAATGTAATAGAACAATTCTGATACTGTAATAGAACGGCTCAGATAATGTAATAGAACAATTCTGATACTGTAATAGAACAGCTCAGATAATGTAATAGAACAATTCTGACACTGTAATAGAACAGCTCAGATAATGTAATAGAACAGCTCAGATAATGTAATAGAACAATTCTGATAATGTAATAGAACAGCTATGTTACACAGTTCTGTTCCAACTCCTTATTCTATACAGGATCACACATCCCTATTCCCACTTATTCTACACCAGAGTCTCACTTGTTCAAAGGGTCCACGTTGAGCTAGATCCTGATCAGATCCCAGCGATGCTCTGTCAACACTCTGCATAGAGGACGATCTGCCCCGGAGTTCTGAGATCTTCCCCAGACTCGTGGATGACCCGGACAGCTTGGAGCCCATGTTAAGTGTGGCTGTAGAGCAGAGGGGGCTCGCAGTTGAACATACAACATTACCTTGGATCAAGGTGGGAGCTGGACATGGTTCCAGTCAAAGGGGGGCGGTGGGGTAGCCTAATGGTTAAAGCGTTGCTCGTCACGCTGAAGACCCGGGTTCGAATCTCTACATGGGTACAATGTGTTATGCTCATTTCTGGTGTCCCCCGTCATGATGTTGCTGGAATATTGCTAAAAGCGGCGTAAAACCAAACTCAGTCAGTCAGTCAGTCCAGTCGAAGGATACATGTCTACTGATGTCTCCACCAGTTTAAGCAGAATTCAGAGGTGAGCAACATGTAAAGTGTTATGAAGTAGTGTTGTGCAACAATGTATCACCTGTGATACATTGTCCATGTAGAGTCAGTCAGGTGCAGTGCTATGCTATATTAAGAATGTGTGGTACAACCTAATAGACATCGTACTGATACTGAGAATATTGTAGAAAAACCTGTATTAGTATAGATTTTCTAGCAACATATTTTAATAAAAATAGTCCACTTATCATGCGCATTGCTCCATGCACAATGCATGCTCGAAGCGTCCAAACAATTTGATTATTATTACCCGGATAACCCAAGCTACCTGTTTGGCGTTAGAGGGTTATAGTCACATGACTTTATGCCACCGGGTACCCAATTTATGCTGGGTGAACAGATGCAATTTTGAACTCACTTGCCTAAAGGGAGACCACATGTATCACATGTGCTTGGTTGTGGGGCAGGACTGAAGTCCTACTAACTCTCAGGAGTCAAGCTGCCAAACACGGTCACCCATTCCAGGTCCCCACCCACCCAACATTCCTTAACTTCACCTGATATTTTAGTGTACATCATGAGACCTTGCTATTATCTCTTATCTCACATTACAGTCTAGCCCTAGCTGCAAACTTGATACTATCTGGTCTTTAGCAGTGGACACCTACAATAGTATGCAACATAAACTACTTACCATATTTATTTCCCTTTTCTGATTTTCCCATAAGTCTCTGCTTGGCGTTCTCCAAGAAGTCTTGTAATTCCCGTGTGTACATCTTCTGCATGTTGACTGTGTACACCTGGTCAATATGGGTTATAGGTAGTTATACAACACATGTACACCTGGTCAATATGGGTTATAGGTACTTATACAACACATGTATCACCTGGTCAATATGGGTTATAGGTAGTTATACAACACATGTACACCTGGTCAATATGAGTTATACAACACATGTACACCTGGTCAATATGGGTTATAGGTAGTTATACAACACATGTACACCTGGTCAATATGGGTTATAGGTAGTTATACCACACATGTACACCTGGTCAATATGAGTTATACAACACATGTACACCTGGTCAATATGGGTTATAGGTAGTTATACAACACATGTACACCTGGTCAATATGGGTTATAGGTAGTTATACCACACATGTACACCTGGTCAATATGAGTTATACAACACATGTACACCTGGTCAATATGGGTTATAGGTAGTTATACAACACATGTACACCTGGTCAATATAGGTTATACAACACATGTACACCTGGTCAATATGGGTTATAGGTAGTTATACAACACATGTACACCTGGTCAATATGAGTTATACAACACATGTACACCTGGTCAATATGGGTTATAGGTAGTTATACAACACATGTACACCTGGTCAATATGGGTTATAGGTAGTTATACAACACATGTACACCTGGTCAATATGGGTTATAGGTAGTTATACAACACATGTATCACCTGGTCAATATGGGTTATAGGTAGTTATACAACACATGTACACCTGGTCAATATGGGTTATAGGTAGTTATACAACACATGTATCACCTGGTCAATATGGGTTATAGGTAGTTATACAACACATGTACACCTGGTCAATATGAGTTATACAACACATGTACACCTGGTCAATATGGGTTATAGGTAGTTATACAACACATGTACACCTGGTCAATATGGGTTATAGGTAGTTATACAACACATGTACACCTGGTCAATATGAGTTATACAACACATGTACACCTGGTCAATATGGGTTATAGGTAGTTATACAACACATGTATCACCTGGTCAATATGGGTTATAGGTAGTTATACAACACATGTACACCTGGTCAATATGAGTTATACAACACATGTACACCTGGTCAATATGGGTTATAGGTAGTTATACAACACATGTACACCTGGTCAATATGGGTTATAGGTAGTTATACCACACATGTACACCTGGTCAACATGGGTTATAGGTAGTTATACCACACATGTACACCTGGTCAATATGGGTTATAGGTAGTTATACAACACATGTACACCTGGTCAATATGGGTTATAGGTAGTTATACAACACATGTACACCTGGTCAATATGAGTTATAGGTAGTTATACCACACATGTACACCTGGTCAATATGGGTTATAGGTAGTTATACCACACATGTACACCTGGTCAATATGGGTTATAGGTAGTTATACCACACATGTACACCTGGTCAATATGGGTTATAGGTAGTTGTACAACACATGTACACCTGGTCAATATGGGTTATCGGTAATTATACAACATATGTATCACCTGGTCAATATGGGTTATAGGTAGTTATACCACACATGCACACCTGGTCAATATAGGTCATCGGTAGTTATACAACACATGTATCTCTCCTGTAAACACTGGGTCACATTTCCCCCTCAGCTTGTTTTCAGACCCATGTAAAACATCTTGAGGTGTATTTTATTCCACACTTATCCGGAGGTACAGGTAAGCAGCGTATCTGCGTAAATTACGCAAACATTTATGGAAAAACTCAATTCCATTCAAGTCTATTGCGTATAAGTACGCTTGAATTTTGTAAATACTCAATAAATTTGATCTAACATGCATACTCAGAAAGATGTCAAATCTTAGCTTGCGTACTGTAACATTCAGCAAACCTAGTAGAATTTGAAGTACTAGCAAGCGGACCCATACGCTAAATATGGAGGTTACTTAGGAAAGATACAATAACTGACTCAGAGGTATAATGAGAGGTTCTATTTCAGCACATGAACTTGGCAACTTGCAGTCTTTCTTATCTTTTCTCATATTACAGATCAAATATAAATAGCACACACGTTAACCAACATTTAAACTTTATTGTATTTTCACAAATAATGGAAAGTGGCAAAGTACCCAATTGAGTTTGAGTGAGGTGAGTACAATTCATTAGGTAACTCAAATGAAATTAGCATACCCAATTGAGATGAACACAAGCGAGTACATAACTCAATGACTCAAAAAGTTATCTGTAGTTCTGTTATCATATTATATAATCATAGAGGTACAAAATACTTTTTGAGTCATTGAGTTATGTACTCACTTGTGTCTATCTCAATTGGGTATCCTAATTTTCCTTTGAGTAACCAAATAAATTGTACCCACCTCATTCAAACTCAACTGGGTATTTTGCTATTTTCCATTAATTGTAAAAACATAATAAGGTTTAAATGTTGGTTTACATGTCTGTTATTTAGATTTGATCTGTAATATGAGAAACGATACTAAAGACTGCAAGTTGCCAAGTTCAGATGCTGAAATATAACCTCTCAATATACGTCAGTTATTTCATCTATCCGACGGTACACAAGCTAAGAATTGACAATTTTGTGTGTACGCATATAAGATCAAATTCCTTGAGTATTTACAAAAATTCAAGCGTACTTGTACACAATACACTTAATAGGAATTGAGTTATCGCATAAATATTTGCGTAATTTACGTGGATACGCAGCTTATCTGTACCTCTGAATCAAGAAGCAATTTTCTTTTCAGTGATTCCATGTAACAGCTTTGCCTTATGACACTTAATGATTGTTCAATATATGTATGGACATATTCACATGGATTTTAATGATAATAATAATACTCATTTGAATAACTATGACTAGCAGAGAAAATAGTTTGCTTTCTGAAATTGTTTGGAAAACAGTCTGGTTTTATTAATCCTGATCTCTTCATGCCCTCTCCCCACACCTGAAACAAGTGGACCTACCTTGGCCAGTTCTTCAAACACGGCGAGGTCAGTGTTCTTCAACCACAGCATCAGGTCTGCGTAGACAACCAACTCCCTCTGCATCGTGTCGTGGATTGGCATCTTCAGCTCCCCCGAGAAACGACTCAGTGTCTCTCCCAATTCGTTACCCTGGGGTTAGACATGTCACATGGACCATGAGTATTTACTATGAAAAATCACAGTGGACATATTTAAATACAAACAGAGCTGAATCAAGCTGACATTTTCTTAAATGCCTATCCATGGAAATCCAAACTGCATGGCAATATTTTACAAGTAAATTTGACAGTACACTATAATGCAGACTGACCTGGTGTATGAAGAGATTGTTGAGGTGGTGTGCCACCCTCTTGGAGAAACCCACAGACAGCTTGCTGAACCTTTTCTGTTGTTCCTCCACTGCACCCATCCTCTTCAAGGCTGGCAGGGACAAAACCAGGCATTATAACACACTCTGGGTTGGCAGGACATGTTTGGTGACAAATGCAACCTGATTTGTCTGTCTGCTTATGACTTAAAACAAGTTACAACCAAGCAATTGAGAAACTGAGTTATGGTTCACGCCTCCCTTAAAAGTGTTTGAGTATTGTGTAGAATTCGGAATTCCCAGTACCTGCAGCTTGTTGTAATAGATCAATTTCCCCTGTACATAATGTCAAACAAAATGTGGACAGATTGTTGCAATTTGTACACACGCTGAGATCTTGAACCACAATACTGTAATTAACAGCTCAAGCTTTAAACAAGCGCCACTGGTAAATCAACTCTTTAGATGGTGTCTTCATAACTCAGGGCTACAACATGAAACATACCTGTGTGTATGTCTGCATTCATGCACTTGAGTAACGCCTGTGCTGCCCGTGTACACTCGTAGATCCCAGTGGGTGTCGCCAGGTCACCATTCACTAAGGCGTCCACATGCTTCACGTCAAGGTCAAGCTGATTCTGTAACAGACATGTGTTTCATATGTTTCTATGAACACTACCACCTCACCAGCATAAATGTCTATCAGAGAGTACTACTGTCAACTACCTAACTCAGCAGTGTTACATAACTCAGGCAGTGTTCAAGTGTAACATGGCAGACTACCTTAACTATAGACTCCAGACAGGCTTAACTATACCATACTCTCCAGACAGGCTATACAAGCTATACACACCACCATATTCTCCAGACAGGCTATACAAGCTATACACACTACCATATTCTCCAGACAGGCTATACAAGCTATACACACTACCATATTCTCCAGACAGGCTATACAAGCTATACACATTACCATATTCTCCAGACAGGCTATACAAGCTATACACACTACCATATTCTCCAGACAGGCTATACAAGTTATACACACTACCATACTCTCCAGACAGGCTATAGAAGCTATACACATCACTATGCCCTCTAGAAAGGCTATACAAGCTATACACACTACCATATTCTCCAGACAGGCTATACAAGCATTACACACTATCATATTCTCCAGACAGGTTATACAGCTATACACACCACCATACCCTCCAGACAGGCTATACAAGCTATACACACTACCATATTCTCCAGACAGGCTATACAAGCTATACCCAATACCATATTCTCCAGATAGGCTATACAAGTTATACTCTTCAAACAGGTTATACATTATACACACCCATACTCCAGACAGGCTATATACAAGCTATACACACTACCATACTCTCCAGACAGGCTATACAAGCTATACACACCACCATACCCTCCAGACAGGCTATACAAGCTATACACACTACCATACTTCTCCAGACAGGCTATACAAGCTATACACACTATCATATTCTCCAGACAGGCTATACAAGCTATACACACCACTATACCCTCCAGACAGGCTATACAAGCTATACACACCACCATACCCTCCAGACAGGCTATACAAGCTATACACACTACTATACTCTCCAGACAGGCTATACAAGCTATACACACCACTATACCCTCCAGACAGGCTATACAAGCATTACACACCACTATATATTCTCCAGACAGGTTATACAGCTATACACACCACCATACCCTCCAGATAGGCTATACAAGCTATACACACTAACATATTCTCCAGATAGGCTATACAAGCTATACACAATACCATACCCTCCAGACAGGCTATACAAGCTATACACACCACTATACCCTCCAGACAGGCTATACAAGCTATACACACCACTATACCCTCCAGACAGGCTATACAAGCTATACACACCACTATACCTCCAGACAGGCTATACAAGCTATACACACCACTATACCCTCCAGACAGGCTATACAAGCTATACACACCAACTATACTCTCCAGACAGGCTATACAAGCTATACACACCACTATACCCTCCAGACAGGCTATACAAGCTATACACACCACCACTTTCTCCAGTTCCTCCAGCAGCTGCTGATGGTTGATGTTCCTGATCTTCACCAGCATGTCCTTGTCCCGCATCACCTCCATCTGCTCCTTCACATTCTGCAACATCAACCAATCCCAGCTGGTTCTTCAGGTAGGGTATTTATTTATGTATAGATAAATTTGAGAAGAATTTCTTACAACTGGCACTTCTGAATAAATGCTGTACAAGTAATGAAGCCATAATATATGTCCATAAACAATCTGTTCTCTTGCATAATTTATTATACAATCATGGAGATGAATAGGAGATCATCACCATCAGTCTGTTCCAGGAAATCATTATCACGTGATATTTGCTTTCTGCAACATGGTTACATTATCAGCAAGCACTGACTGACTGAGTTTGGTTTTACGCCGCTTTTAGCAATATTCCAGCAACATCACGGCAGGGGACACCAGAAATGGGCTTCACACATTGTACCCATGTGGGGATTCGAAACCCGGGTCTTCGCCGTGACGAGCCATATCAGCAAGCATAAAATGAGAACTGCATCTATAGTTCATTAGCATGCTGGTATTTCTACACCTACCAATGCAACAAATACGGTGAGAACAGTTAATATTAGCTGCACATCAAATAATTCCTTGACTTTTGTCTCTGTGTCTGACTGACATAGATGAGTGGGAGAGGTGCTTTTTCATTTAGTTATACATGACACACCAGCTTCCAGTGGGACTGACTGAGTTTGGTTTTACGCCGTTTTAGCAATATTCCAGCAACATCACGGCGGGGGACACCAGAAATGGGCGTCACAAATTGTACCCATGTGGGGAATCGAACCCGGGCCTTCGGCGTGACGAGCCAACGCTTTAACCACTAGGCTACCCCACTGCCCCCTTCCAGTGGGAAGATACCATCGTGTTATGTAGGTACGTAGAACTACTAGATGTTTACTTTGGTGAGTCCATGAGTATGGTGCACGAAGACTTATTATACGGAAAACTTTGGAATTTAAAATTCATTCGTTAAACAGCCTCCCACATGTTTGAAATGTTCCTGCCTACAGTATCTTGTATGGTACAGAGCCTACCAGCAGTATGTTGTCATACGAGTCCAGCTTACGCTCTATCCGCTCGGCCTGTTGGATTCCCTCGTCAAGCAGCCTCATCAGATTGAGCACTTGGTCCTCCGACCCCATGATGGAGTGGATGTTGGCCTAGGGGAGGGAAACGGATGTAGATATAATTATGTCGTCAAGATATTTGTCAAATGACATTTTTCAAATGTCTTCATATACAGCCAATTCATAACTTACAAATATGTGCACTTTATCTGAAACTTGTGCAAGTGGAAATAAGGATTAGTTTGTTGTTTCATGCAACACTCCAGCTATATGTTGGAGGTCTCTTAGTAACTGAGTCTGGACCAGACACTCTAGCAGTCAACAGCATGGATTACAGTTGGGATATGACTGACTGAGTTTGGTTTTATGACGCTTTTAGCAATATTCCAGCAACATCACGGCGGGGGACACCAGAAATGGGCTTCACACATTGTACCCATGTGGGGATTCAAACCCGAGTCTTCAGCGTGACGAGTCAACGCTTTAACCACTAGGCTACCCCACCGCCCCAGTTGGGATATGATGACAGAGAACACACTCACATAACATAACTGATGCATTCATTGTTAACCCAATAACCCAATTTGAAAAATGTTGAAATTTAGGAATTCTGTCATCAGCTATAGATCTGGAGCTGAATATTTTCCTCTAAACCCTTAAATAGAAACGTGTTGACCTCACCCCATCCAGGACGGACAGCTGTCTGGAGAGCTGGTCAGTGAAGGTCTCTGCGTTGCTGATGGCCACCTTGCACTCGGACATGAGGAGCTCTAGGTCGGACTCCTCCTTGGAGGACAGAGCCTGATAGTCCTCGTCCTCAATGGAGATGTCGTCCCCACCCTCAGACTTCTGGTTCTGGTCATGAGGGGCGGTGATGTCTGCAGAAGTAAAGGCAGTAAAACTGAGGTCTCATTCAATAAGTGAACATCAAAATTCTCATCGCATCAAAATAACTACTAGGAAAGCCATATCAGTATCCCATTCCATTGCACAACACTTTAGCAATTAAAGTTAACATAAGCTATATCGCTTGAGTGAAAAATAAGTTTAAGTACCAGCATATATCCTAGCCATTTAGAAATGAATGCAATCATTACAGTGCTTGGCCCAGAAGAATAATGCTCACACGTGGTACCACAGTGCATCAGTTCTACAATGAATCAACCTACTCCTGTTAATGGCGTACCTTCAAGCAGTCCTGGTGGGACATTGACAAACTCTGGCTTCTGTATCAGATATCGCTGACTCAGCTGAAATAGGAATATTCATAAGAGTGAGTGAGTTTAGTTTTACGCTGCTTTTAACAATATTCCTGCAATATCATGGCAGGGGCCAATAGAAACGGGCTTCATACAGTGTACCCATGTGGAGAATCAAACCTGGGCCTTCAAAAAACGAACTTTTTAACCACTAGGCTACTCCACCTCCCCAATATTCACAGGAGGGTCAAGGAATAATCAATCTTTTTTAAAATGTACACATACATGTAATCTTAACGGTCAGAAAGAATGAACTCAGCTTCAGTCTTCAGCATCCATTAGAACATCATGTCATGTGCTAGGGCTGGAGTGATGCACTGTGTCACGATACGATACATATCGCGATATTTTACCTGTGATACGATATGTATCACAATACATACACCTTGAAAGAATGACACAGTATTAAGATTTAAAATGATTTATTTCAAGGTATTTGTGTATAACAATAGCACTATTGTAATAAACAAACAAGTAACTCTATCATACTTACGTATTTTTCTCTAAATAAGTACTGTAACATGTTTAAGATAATACTGTTTTGAAAAAAAGTCAGGTATCATTTTGTATCGTTACACCAGTCGACGATACGATAGCTGTATCAAACTTAAATTATCTAGATGTATCGGTGCATCAGTGAATTGTCCCAGCCCTATCATGTGCAACTTAATATTGGATTGATTTAAGGCTTAGTAATGCCCTTGCATAAAACCAAACAGGAGATGTCAACTTAAGAGTTGAAGCAATTAGGAATACTATAACTGGAATTATTGGTGTCTATAACAGATTGTTTTCCTCACAAATGAGTCACCTCACCATCTGCATGATGTACAAATTTCAGAATAATAACTTATCTTTTAAATTTCATTGGATGAACAAACTCACCACCAAAACTGAATGAAGTGATGATCAATTATATACAGCTGTGTATGTTACAATGCATTTACTGACTGTTTGGTGAAATAAATTGCAATGATTTCATCAAAATCAAGAATCTCTGCAAAACCCACAAGACCCAGCTGTTAAATGTTTCCCCTGCTACTGTGGCTGTGGTACTGTGATACTGTGGTACTGTGATACTGTGGTACTGTGGAACTGTGATACTGTGGCTGTGGTACTGTGGTACTGTGATACTGTGGTACTGTGGCTGTGGTACTGTGATACTGTGGTACTGTGGCTGTGGTACTGTGATACTTTGGTGAAATAAACTGCAATGATTTCATCAAAATCAAGAACCTCTGCAAAACCCACAAGACCCAGGTGTTAAATTTATTTCCCTGCTACTGCGGCTGTCGTGCTGTGGTACTGTGTCATTACGTACCCTCCACAAGCAGGCAATAAATGACTCCTTTTCATCTATGCTGCTGGCCACCCACTTATACAGCTTCTCAAAGTTCAGGTCAAATTCAGCGGTCTCCTGAAATAGATATCAGTCATCTAGAGGATGATCAGTTATCACACAGAATCAGAACAATTGTTTTAAACATACTAACATGTGTATGTATGAACAAATTCAGATGCATAAGTTGTGGTGACTCTAAAGGCAAAGACTTTACAATATAATTGTTCACATAAAATTTCTCCCAAATGTGTGAAATGACATGACATCACAAGAATATTAATCTTAAGTTTAAATATTCTACTGAACAAAAGATACCATCTAACATGTTTGAATATCAGCAAGTTGTGGTTTGGAGGCAAACTTATCACTTGTTAATTAGAATTTTTTAGTGCATAAAATGCATAGTAGCTATCATTTACTACAAAGAAAGAGATATACTTATAATAATTATAACATCATATTTCATGATGTATAAGCAATTGTATTCCCAGCAGAAAGCAGTGCTTTTCCAAATTAGATCCTTACTTTGTTGGCATTCTTCCCATCAACCACCTTGAGGTCTCTGAGGAGCCATGACAGCTTCTTCTTGTACGACTCTCCTCTGTCAGCCTTCTTCACCTGATACACACGGGCCTGCACAGGGCTCTCTGTGGTGTTCACTGAAATCAACATACACTGCAGGAACAAACTCTATCACATTAGACAGAAACCAAACAATGGAACATGTCCACACTTATGTTGTGGAATCTATTACAAAATATGTTGTTTAGTGAATCTAAGAACATAAATGTCTGAATGAAAAATTCAGTCAAAACAGTGGACTAAGTTAGTCTGAAAACACCTTGACTAGACAATTACTGACTCACAGTTTCAATGTATTTAACAAACATTTAGGTCAAGCTGAAAGTTTTAGAATGACTCCAAAGCATCATTCTCATTATGGATCACAGACATTTCCATGATCTGTCAATCACTGATCTGTATCTCTGATCATCTACAACTTACAGACAGCACAGAGGAAACTCCCTTTCTTTTTCTTTGGGGCTTTAAACACGTAAATCAGCCCAATCAACCGTTCATCATTTGGAAGGAAAAGGTCACGGTTCAGTGTGTGTTTAATGGCTGCCATTGTCAGGTGTCATCAACCTGCATCAGAACAAACATGGTTTATATCAGGATAATACCATATGTTTCATACAATTCATCAGAAATCCAAAATATAGTCGTCTGAAAAATATTTAGCAAAGAGTCAATTCATCATTTGTTTTTCTTTTCTATCTTGCTTAGTAACATTAAGACCACACCAAAGACATAAGCCATAAAAATCATCAAACCACTGCAACACAAGAAACCCATTCTTGTGTCTCGAAGGAACATGACTGCATCATATTTGCCAACGGTACGTATACAAATGGTATGTACACATTGATAAATAAAAACCATTTTCTCTATATCCGAGCTTACATTTAAAGCTTGCATAACACTGCACCAAAAATCCAAATAGTGAATAAATGTTGTTTCATACAAGACTGTAGAAAACACCTAATTTACCTCAGGAAAACAAACCTAAACTGTGGGCCAAGGCAAATAAGATAGACACGACTGTCGCCGAATGATCGTTTCTGTTAAAATATTAAACAGATTGAGAGTAATGGCAGTACACGGTAGCCCTGCTCTGATCACATTAAGACACCATTATAACAGAACCTGTACGCTGTTTTCATAAATTCATGTTGGACAATGAATCTTGTTTAAAGTACGATACTCCACTCAGTGCATTGCACTGTCAATAGTGTCATCCGAACTTGCAGACGATTTTTCAAGTGTATGCGTAATTGTTATCCTATCATTCGGTCTCGCTGCATGACAAATGCGAAAAACAATACCTACAATTCAACATGTTGAACATTAAATATCGTCATGTAAGCGACCAAACTTACTCATTTCTCATCGATAATCCGGAACAAACATGATTAATAATGTTCTCAATCTAATGCGGAAGCAGGATTACTCCCCTTTCAGTGTTCGATGCGCACGCACCATACACTTTCGCGTACCTGCTTCCTTCCGATCGTTGCCTGGCGATTGTAAACAAATCGTATTGAAGAGCGGTTAGTTGGTCATTGTTTGAACCAACCAGCCGTGATCTTGTCTGTGGAGTGGATCACATTACGGGTTTAACGAGAGACATTTGACAGATACTGACTGACAATGGCGACGGGGCATATTCTGCCCGGCTATGGGGACCCAGTCTCAAGACTGAGGCGCGTGAATTCGACGGGGTACCCCCTTGACAGTAACACTCTGCTGCAGATGGAGGCTAATTACAAACTCAGGGACCTTGATTTCGACAGAATTCGGGCACAGGCGCGTCATATGTGGTCGAGGAGGGATAGGGAACCGACAACCTACAACCACTTCCATTCAGGCCAGGAACTGCCTCCAGAGGAACAGACAAGATCCAGACCTACATCGCCAACAAGGAGGAACAAGCCGCATCCACCGTCGTAAGTCTACTAACATTTACTGCTAAAGAAATATGCCATGAAATAATTGTTGATGGGTTCGACTCGACAGTACCATTTGGTGTCTGTGCTGTGTAAAGGTGACAAAGATCCTGAGCTGACACTTAACATTAGGCCTAGGATCACTCGAAAACTCTTTGGTGCATTCCTCTATTTAATCTGCAGGTAATTATAGCATTAATAAAAGTATTAAATGATCATAATCACAATCAAGATATGAATATAGCACTAGTAATTAGTAACTAAGATTAACTGTTCGCAATCGCTTTTGGAGACTATAAAACATAATTGTTATTGGAATTAGGTAAATTTTTGAAATTCTCTGGTTAAGCGGCGGCAGAGTGTTCCATAGTAAAGGATATGCTCATGCTAAAACAGCGATCTTCAGAGTTATTGGTCTGTAATGCGTGAACTCAGATTTATATTTTGAATTAAAAGGACTGATCAATGACAGTCCTAAATAAATAACTCTTTCAGAAGTAGCCCCGAAATGGTAAGTCGTTATCAATAGATGTGTCACAACTCGTGTTCTTCCAATATCTAGATGCCAATCAAAGACAACGCTTGTTTATTTAACCATGAAGAAATGGAGTTATATTAAGTTTCAACCTATAACTGTACATGAGAGGTGTGTATTTCTAGATAGCGCCCAGTGCGTGTTGATATTACCTGTATTATATTCACGTGAAGTCGTCCCCTGAGTTAATCTTCTATCACTGGTGTTAACACACACAGACTCTGTTCGGCTGCCTGATAAGTAGGGTGATACCGTTGTTAGAACACTCGAGGGATTAGCAAATAGTACAGAGGGTATATTATGGCTAATATATCTTGCCCCCGATCAGAATGAGAATGACACACAACGTCTGTGATAGGTAGAGCCTTGAAACCCCACACAGCCGATCATGCTGTACCGGAATCTCGCATGTGTACGACTGTACATCTAGTGCCAGAGTACATACGTGTATACGAAGTGGTGTAATTTTTAGAAGTTCATGAGTTGACTACATAGAAAATGATAATAACATGAAGTAGCATGAATACTTACTTATTCGGCTTACCTTCGGTTTGAGAGTATTTGTATCCCTTTGGTATTGATACCCTATGGTTAACCTTGTTGAATTTAAAATGAAAACTGTAGCTGACTCTTTACACCCTAATAAACTCAAACTTACATTAATTATGGCAATCGAAGTATGGGAGGGTGACGCCTCATATGAATAAGGTAATGTAGTGATTTGTGGTAGTATTGGTACTTTTTTATATAGACTTTCGCAATTTATTCAAGCCTCTATTCAGAAAGTTGTATTGAAGTGGGGATGTAATACTGTCATATATCTTATGTCCATGCATATTATAACTTGAGTTTACTTTACTGTTGCAGAGTTTTCCTCACCAACCGACTCCATTACATTGAAGGCTACCACAACCCGGACACGACGCTGGGGAAACAGTGCTACAGAAGTAAGCTGCCATTAACACGTCATTACCGTATGGTGTCAGTAAACGTGTGGTGCTATTAACATACGGTGTCTTTAACGTACGGCGTCAATAATCTGTGGTGTCATTAACATATGATGTCATTAACATGTGGTGCCATTGACGTGTGGCGTCACTAACGTATGATGTCATTAACGTGTGGTGCTATCAACTTACGGTGTCATTGACGTGTGGCGTCACTAACGTATGATGTCATTAACATGTGGTGCCATTGACGTGTGGCGTCACTAACGTATGATGTCATTAACATGTGATGCCATTAACGTGTGGCGTCAATAATATGATGTCATTAACATGTTGTGCCATTAACGTGGCGTCATTAATGTATGATGTCATTAACATGTGGTGCATGTGGTGCCATTAACGTGTGGCGTCACTAACGTATCATGTCATTAACATGTGGTGCCATTGACGTGTGGCGTCAATAACGTATGATGTCATTAACGTGCGGTGCTATTAATTTACGGCATCATTAACGTACGGCGTCACTAACGTATGATGTCATTAATGTGTGGTGTCATTAAGGTAGGTATCATAAACGCGTGTTGTCATTTACATGTAGTGTCATTAACGTATTCCACGGTACTGTGTGGCATATACATGTACATCTTTTACAAAATTAACATATGTTTAATACAAAGTAACGTCGACATTAGCTTAAATAACCACGTGTCAAGGCATTGATGTTGCCTAACAGCCTTCGATAAATGGCTATCGAAACGTATTTCATGGTGTTTCAATGGTTTTTAATTTGTTTTTAAAATTAAGTAACAGATGCTGCAGATATGTTTATATTCAAATGCGTTTCAGTCGTACAATGTGTGTTGCAGTCGACGCTAGTCTCCCGCCGGAAGAGCAATATCAACGACGTCAGACACGGCGTAAATACGTCGCCGACCGCCCATCCACGTCACTGATAAACACATACAAGGATCAATATGTACGTATATGTCAGCCAGGGTGTGTAATAGTCTATTCTGAATCATTTTTACATTTTGTGGTTTCGCTTGTTGTGATCTCTGCCAGCGCCTTAAACTCTTTGCCGTTGAGTGTTCCATGAGCAAGTCTGTTAATTTCTACGACCCCATCACTCTATCCCACAGGGAATGAAGAATTTCCTGGATCCCGTTACCGCCCAGGGAGCGGAGGCGTGGCTCAAGATAGCGGATGATAAAGGTGGGATATAAATTGTTATATACTATCACCTACGTTTGTAACGAACACGCATATACCGAACTGACGGATATAACGAACTACTTTCTAGTCCAACCCACTTGCTGTAGGTTTTGGTTGTATCAGGAACGCAACAGTAAAGTAAACCCAGTTTGTAATATACACGGAATTAAAGTATTCTAATCTCTTTCAATAACATACCGAACTGAAATTAGTGGTCCCTCAGAGTTCGTTATAACCGATGTTTATTGTATTACTCATGCTTTGATTACTGACTGTCAGTAATCTGATACAAAGTAATCGGCGATGTTCCAATGACCATCATGTCTTGTTCGTCCTCTATCCAGTATTGTTGACCACAATTGCAGAGTGGCTTCAATAGAGTGGCTTCAATATCACCAAATACTGGAAACCGTGATTTAATATCATATATACGTCAAGCTATTCCACACGATTCCCTGAAGGTCGTAAGAGGCTTATGACTTGGTTTATGTTATCGTATACGAGTTGCGTAGATTCATGCTGATTACGTCAATCACAGTTTTGTCTGATACATGTTCAATTCCGTGCGGCATTAAACACCAAAACTAATCACACATTAAAACAACTTCGTATTTGACTTTGGTTCGGTGTGTTGACAGACAAGGATGACGTCATGATGGCGGTACAGGGAAACCGTCAACAGGAAGTCTTGCAGGCGAACAGAGACGCCCTCAGACAGGTAGCACTGTACTTATATCTGTGTGTACTTGTAGTATCTGTGAATGTCATACATTGATAGAATTTCACTGCTGAAAAATGGAAACAGTTCCAGTGGCTTTAAATTCAGCCCATGATTGATCAGTACTGAGTTGCATAATTGCAGGTGTATGTAGGTGTGTGACATTTCACGGTGACACTTCTGTAATTAATGCTGAACGGGTTTAAACGGTACTCCCTTGGCAGACAATCTGATCCAGAGTTGTACATGTATGTCTGCCTATACCCGTGCTCACAGGTTTTACAACTCTTGACATATGTTACGTGATTTTTCAACCCTGTTTCATAGTAGATAAGGTAGTGTAGTGGTGAAGGCGTTATGCTATTATACAGAATACTAGTGTTCGATTCTGCAGGTGGGTACAATGTGTGAAGCCCATTTCTGGTGTCTCCCGCCGCGATATTGCTGGAATATTGCTAAAAGCAGCGCAATACCCCACTCACTAACACTCCACGATGTTCTACGTTATTTGTATTCCATGTTGATATATATCACGTAAGCGCATTCTACGTTAATCTACCAATGTTGCAGCCATCACCGTCCATGGCCCCACGACCCAACACAGCCTACCCGTCACTCAACAGGTTCCTGAAGTACGCCGGAGCCACGGGTATGGTGTTCGGACAGACTGACAAGTCACTGATCAGAGAACAAAAAAGAGTCATCATTTTTCTAAAATTCCCTTTTACAATTATAGTTACATATGTACTGCAACTTCATCCCAAGATATATGCTTAAAATTACATATTGCAACGCGTACATTCATTTTTAGTAATCCGTGAAAACGTGATTTCTGTCAAAACTTCAGCTGCACAGAAAACAACAGCCTGCCTATAAATGTATGTAGAAAAACCTTTCATTTCAGAATCTAGCTCAATGGCTCCTCTTCTGAGACCTCCACACGCTATCATTGGCTACAGCGGGGACATGAGGTCACGTGATATCGAGACGACTAGACGAGTGCGGGTATTGGCTGATTCTGGTCGCGGTGACTTCCTGCTGCATCCTGATTGGCCACCAACCCTACCCCATCATCGAGTACCTTGACCGCAGGGAATCTCCTGTCTAGACCTTACTGCTGACTTGTAGATAAAATTGTTCAGTTTGTTGAAAGCAATGACAAGTAGTGACATGACTAGAATACTTATGAACCCCCAACGTGCGTTGTAGAATAGTTCCAGGAAGCCTGTATCAGAATTGTAAACCCAGTTTGTGCCCAATCCGTCTTAGACAGACTCCCAGTCAGAACGAACCGCATGTATCAAAGACCTTGATGAACCAAAGACACCATTGTTGGTAGATATTTAGATTTCATTTTATGAGAATACAATTCTCGTACATTTGAAATAGACAATACAGCATTATACTTCCTCACATCTATATTGACAAACCAAGAGTGTTTTAATACATTTACACGTACGTTTCTTTGTTCTTTGATGAGCAAGCCAAAGTGTTTTATGTGATCGTAGGAGAGGTACTATTGTACATTTATACACTGCTTTGTGTATGCCTTGTTCGATATGTAAGCGTGTATACAGGTAACGCCGAACTTTAAATCTTAGTCATAGTGTAAGCATATACTGTGGAACTGTCTGACCAAATTATGAAGTCTGCTGCAGGACAATGTGTGTCACACGTAAGGTCCTCATTGTCACGCTCCCGAAACATGACAGTTTGGCCTTTCACCTTCAATCAGCTGAGCGCCCATGCTTCTTCCGGAAGTGATGGAAACACACCACGTTAAGTCCTGTTGTTTGTTGTTACTAATACACCAGGCAACGACCCGAGCAGTGTGTGTTGTGTAGATATACCCGGATATGTACAAGAACGCGTATACTCTATTTAGGTATATGCTAAGGCATTATGGTAATAATACACCCAGCATTACTGTACTTACTCCAGTATTACTTACTCCATGAGTATTTTGTAGTTAATACCTTGAACCCATTAGGGCTGGGACGGGTACTCGGGTACTCGAATCCGGGTCGGGTACACCTGGAATCGAGTCCTATTTCTAGGAATCGAGTACCCGGAAAGGGAGAGAACTCTGTAATGACAAGGGCAGATAATAACTTGTCTTTTTCATAATTGACGTAACACACATTTACAACATTAGTATTGTCCGAAGGTTATTATTAACGACTGTAATTTATCTACGCATGAGCGGCGGGAACGAAAAGTTCTGTGTTTTAACGAGGAATGTAAGTAATGCTGATACTCTTTATATTGGTTAAATAGACGAAAAGTAATTAGCCTAAGATCTGTTTTAATGTCTTATTGCCAACCTTTCAAGTTTCTATAATAATCTCTGTCAACCCGTGATTGAATATTCAGACAGTTGACAGAAGCGCTGTATTCCTTACATTTCCGGGTACTCGATTCCGATTCGGGTAAGCACATGCGGGTACTCGATTCCATTTATTCCTACCCGTCCCAGCCCTAGAACCCATGTATTATTGCTTCCCCTTGTCATACAATGGTGATGATGGCTGACGAAGATATCACTATGACCACCGACAAGACCCAAACACTATTTTGCCAAAATGAATTCACAGAAATATTCTGTTGATGCGAGCTTTTTTTAAAAATAGAAAGTATGTTTTGTAATACCCTTTTAAAATGGTGTCTTCTTCGTTTTATTGAATAAAGGATATGAAAGATTATGAAACGTGTTAGATTTCGTTTTCAAATTTAAAACGTCAACGCTTGAGAATAAAGGTTACTTGTTTCGGTTGTCTGCCGAAACAGGGGCCATAGGGAATATGAAAGGTAAATGGCGCTGACAAGTATATGAAAGGAGAACTGAAAATGAGTGATGATGCCTCCTAATAGACTAAGGCTTAGTCTCTGAATATATATAATTTTGATAGTAACAAAGAAGCCCATTTATATTGAAAAAGAGTCCTAGGGAGACCAGAGATTCAGAACCTGAGGAAATCTAGACTTGCTTTATGTAGAGATTTAACACTGCAGAGAGGGTTTGGCAGCAGGGAAAATACTGTGGTTCAGGAACAGTGAGACAGACTACCATCCACAAAGTTACATATGCTCGACGCCGCACAAACCATGGCAGTAGTAGTCATGTATGGACTACTGAAAATTAGTGATGACACCAGGTGTTCATGGAATGGTAAGCATGTCCTGCATTGTCATGTCCTGTCATTCACACAATTGGCATAATGGAGTAAGTATTTATTGCCAAACGTACTCCATCCGCCCCCCTCCTTTACCATATGACGGCGGAATGTAAACAAACCAGACAATCAAGTATTTAAACCACAAAATGCAGTTACACGGTAGTACATTTATGGGTATATACGTCTAGTGATGTTGTGGTTCTAAAAAATGCCCATTTCTTTCATGACACCCATATTCTACATGTTAGAATACTTATCTTCATGAGGGTTGCAGATAAGTATGTGTTACTGCTGTCAGGGTTCCAAATTGTATCCTCAAGTTGTTCATGGATACAAAATTAAAGGAGCTGTCCAGCGGTAATGAACAATTCTGAAAACACCAAGGCAACAATATCACCGGAGTTGGGAAAACCACGAGCTTCAATCGACATCCGACCCGAGACGATGGCAAACATGACACTACAGACCCCAGCGCTGGCAACCCGACCGTTAACGCAACGCAACTACAGCTAATCCTGACAACGATATTCAGCCCCACCCATCATAGTACGTCTTGTCCATATTGACCAAAAAAACTAATAAATTGAACATTTTGGAACTTTGCATTAGAAATACAGAGGCAAATTCGAATGATGATGAAAAGTCAAAGACTTGAAAGACCAACAGAGTACGTATTGTTTGTAGTCTAACAGAAGTCCATGATGCCAATAAAAACTGGAAAAGAAGAACTTCAAATATAACTGCTGAGTCCGACAAACTTCGTTTAATAATTAATGAATAAGCAAAACCATAATGATATTGGCTTTTAGTACATGATGCATTAAACAAGTAAGTTAGCGTTACGGAGCATGGGTTTTGGCTCGGAATCGCAAAATCACTAGCTTCGACTTGTTATGTACTATGTGCAGAAGTTCAGAACACACAAGTAAAGACAACATAATTCGTTTGTTTTTTCAGCTCAAAGAATGACAGTTTGAAGGTTCGCGGCCATAGATGACACTGCTAAACATTGTGCAAAGAATGTTTGTTTACAAAATGGCTTCATCTGGTTCACCTGTCGTGACTTTACGAACGCTCTGTGAATCGGGACCCTGATCTGGTCAATGACAATCAGAATACTATTCAAAGATCTGTCTGGGTCGTCTTAAAAGAGTCTACCTATTACCCCGTTATCATTCGGGGGAAGGGAATAACACAGGAATTGACAAATTTGGAGTGCATTATTAATGTTAAATTCGGTTGACAAGCACAAATACATAAGTCCGGACAAAGACCGGTTGCCAGACAAAGGGGCGTTGCCAGACACATAGGTGACTTCCCGTTGCTATGTAGCTAAAACGATACTGCAACGCCACGTAAAATCCCACTGGCGTAAAATCCCATTCATCTTTTCGAAGGTAAAACACCCCACCGTGCTATACAAATATATACAAAAGGCAAGGTCGGCTACCCAGACATATCATATGTCATATGCATGCTGTTAGTAAATACTGCGGGGTGAAACGGACATGCGCAGTTCTGTACTTAGCTACAGAGCTTTGAGCACTATTTCGTTTGATCCGACATACATCTCAGAGACAGGTAAGGAATCAGCAATGTGGCAGTTTTCTGATGTTGTGTAAGAAGTACCTGTTATATTGAGGGCGAAACACACGAATGTAGCTCAAACATTCCTACATACAGGGGCTGTAACATTTGCTTATTGATTCGGGGTAACCTTGATCCTGCCACCTAGACGAAATGGCGACCGACACAAGTGACGTCATATGTTATAAAACAAGGTGTGATAGCCAAGGACTTTGTGTGTTCCTTGTTTAACGCTGTCTACAGCTACATGACGGAATAATGATGAACACCGAACAACTAGGATACATGTACATGCCTGATAACCCGATCTATTCACGCCCTACTGTAAGCATGGGCTGTGAAGGACATTTTATCCGGAGCGGTAATCCAGGAAGTATATACTCAGATGCATGACGACCCTCCGTACTATCCCCTAGCCTGAAATACGTAACACAACATACCATTATAACCTGATGTAAGATTTTTACAAAACACACATACCATACAATACTGTTATACCATAACATGTTTAAATTGACTTCATAACATAACCTAACATAACACTTTTTTTAACATAGAATACAACATAACATACACAGGAGAGGTCAGCACAACATAACTTTATGACATAACTCAACAAAACTTTATAATAAATTTACATATGGAAATGATCTCTTTTCCAGAATAATTCTATTATAAATAGGTGGGGGATCTCCAGGTTCTTAGTTTATCGGGGCGGTGGGGTAGCCTAGTGGTTAAAGCTTTGGCTCGTCACGCCAAAGACCCGGGTTCGAATCCCCACATGGGTACAATGTGTGAAGCCCATTTCTGGTGTCCCCTGCCGTGATGTTGCTGGAATATTGCTAAAAGCGGCGTAAAACCAAACTCAGTCAGTCAGTCTTAGTTTATTAGTTCTTAGTTCATCAGTTATGTATGTCACGACAACTGAAAGATTCTGGTGATAAGTAAAACATATGTACCCATGAACTTGAAGTGTAAGCTGTTCTAAAATGGAATCAATTGATTACAACACCCAAATCGCCAACGAGCAATGCGTCCGTGTGGGAAATGTCGGAAAGCGCACGCAAAATCTCTAAATCATCCTCACAGTCTGGAATGTCCGCTCAAACAGGTTCTACAGGGCGCAACTGTCAAATAGTGACGACAATTATACGACTAGACTACTTAAGCTGGTCATATCCTTTCCTAGGAAAACTGGTTGTTGACTTCAGAAGAAGAGAAGGTATACTGTTAGAACCTGGAAATCACCGTTTATGTAACTGAACTTTATCCCCAGAACATGTCCTGTAATGACGATGGAGGTATGGGGACGAAGGACATGAACGTGACCCAGATTGGGTCGAACAATGAGGTTTGGATACAGAGAGTGATGGGGGACGTCTGCATTATCTTGATGAACGTCCCGCCGGCAGACCTGAAGCAGGCCCAGAGTAAGTACAAACTGAAAGATTAGAAGACATTTTATTCAAGTCCTTCAAATTCACTTTGTTGTTAAAGGAGATCAACTGAATATAAACTGAACTGTTTTTCGATAAATGCCAATGTGAAAAAAAAGGTTTGTGTAAAAAGAAATAGTAATAGTAATAGTCCGCTTATATGGCGATCATATCAAGGAACATTGCCCACTCACGGCGTTACGTACATCACTATCCCCGTTCACAGGACCCTATCGTACTTTCCGATACTTTTTAAACTCCCTGGGGATCATACATCCATGCTGCCAGTTAGGCGCAATGAACTAAACACTCATATTGCCAGCACATGGGTACCCGACCCATTCTGTGTGTCGGTGGTAGTATTTGATATTATATTCATGATCAATTATTCATGATCAGAGCCCGGTCCATTTTCTTCCAAGTGAACTGTTTTTATTGGATGGTGTAGTTTCTACTGTTTGTTGATTTCACAGGATGGGATCCTTTAATTGCCCGAATCCCACTACCAAGAGTTATCTCCTGCCAAATGTCATATTATGTGTTTATATCTAGGATAAGTTATTATTTGACAAAAAAAAGCAAAACGTTTTCAGGTTCGAGAAGCGTGAATGTGGTCTGCACGTTTAGAGACATATTGTGGTAGTTTGGGAAGTGATTATGTCAGTTTTACTCGTTAAGCAAATTTGTCTGTGTTTAATAGTATTTTATTCTTTGTGCCTTTGATGTTAGAAAGACAGGTGGTGTTTGACCAGACCAGTAAATAAAGTACAATTGTTTGAGGCATTTATTTTGTGTATGCAATACCGTCATTAGAATTTCGGTTACACTTCGAAATGTACTGGTTATACACACGGTCGTAATATTGCTGTTAAAGTGGCGTAAAACTAAACCCACTCACTCACCTTTGTTTCAGATTCTGTGGCAAATGGTGAAGTCCTTGGCAACTTGCTTTCGAGAGTGAAGATCAGCTGCCTGGGAAAGCGGATGAAACGCAGACCAAGGTCAGCACCAGGAGGGACGAAATTCCACATGACTCTGAGAAGTCATTGTAGAGGTCCATAGATGATACATACCTGTATTTAAGCAAAAACAAACACGAAAACAAAAACAAAAACGGTCCTTGATGGTGCATACCTGTACTCGAAGAAAAACAAAAGTGTGAAAAAAACACACAAAAAACCCCAAGCATTTTTGGGGGTGGAGTGGTGGTGCCAACAGAGATACTATTTTGTCGGTCACTGTCACAGTGAAAACGCACCACCACCCCTCTCATACAGCAAGGTCTTGCAGCTAAAGCCAAGAAAGTACCCATTGCTGAGAGTCTGAAGTATTGTTCAGAAACAGGTAACAAATGTATGTCGCTAATGCTGTCCAAAACAGGTGGTACCCACAAAAGTGGTATAAATACGCCTTAGACCGCGACACTAGCCAAAGGACCGTCTGCGCCTATAGATAGCTATACTGAACAAAGACACTATATTTCCTTGATCAGTATATGTTCGGAAACAGGCCAACAACAAACAAAAAAGGGAAAAAAAGACTCATAGTGGAAAAAAAAGCAAAAAAAAGCGAATGATTTTCATGCATGTTGTTCCTACATTTAGTTACTAGCTTCAGTGTTGTTTTTAGAATCTATGTAGATGATCCACATGTGCACTGGTCCATCGACTTGTGTCGACCAAATCGGGCTTTTACATAATGTCCGTTGTCAGTTGGGACTGGACTATTTCTTAGTCACATAAGTATATATTTTATTTATATGATCCTTACTGGCTTATCCCAATATTTCTTTGATTGGCAAAGGCATTCAGTATTAAAATGTCACATTTTGGCATCTGATATGAGAAAAGGCTTTGAAAATTATTATGACGATAAATACTTAAATCAAATAAAGCGTTATGGAAAAGTATTGAAGTAGCCTGAAGTACAATTATGAATGATTTGCCGGGCCATCTAATACAACTGCCTATGAACAAAAAGACAACCTTCATTCGTTTTCATTCCGTTTCGAGAATGAAGATGTCGTGCTTGTTCATGGGACATGATTTAAGGAATACAGTTCGCTCAACCCCAATGTATAGTGTAATCAAGTACACTTTTGCCCTGAACTATTATAGTGAAAGTACGAGGACGCTTGCGTTCGAGTGATTTAACATTTTATCAGTGTGTTATGCAAACCATTAAACAGGGTGCTACGGAGTAGTTTACTGTAGTAGTTTACTGTAGGTGACTAGGATAACCTGAACTATTTGTATAACATGTGTCACATGAGAAAAGGAGGACAGTTTATAGGACTTTTTACATGGTATTCTTTCTAAACACCGATGAAATATTTGTTCAAAATTGTCACTATCATTTCACGTTAAACGATAGTTTGACTGATGTTTGATTAGAGGTACATTTCTTTGTAATGCATTACACTGACGACGGTTGTCCCACAACATGTCTTTTTTTGCTTTTTTTTTGGTTGCCTTGTACGGAATTACTACGGTAATAAAATGTACAAAACAAACATTTGTGTGTTCTTCTTTCTGGTAAAGAGCATCTCCTCGTGTGTGGACATTTCCGTGTTGTGACCTTCACCTTCACCCATAAAGAGTGTTTCCGGTAGAGCAGTGGGCATCATTTTCCTTGTTTGTTGTTTAATACCGCAGGCAGCAATCTTCAACCTGTTCTCAAACTGTGAAGGACCGAGTTTCCACCAGACAAGATAGTGATTGCCATGCATGGTGATCATCGATAGAGGCAGTGGATCCCATGATATATGTGGTACAGTATCAGATAGGTCATCTAGCCTCTAAACCTACACAACCTCCATGATGGCCACCTGTCACAAGAAAGGTGGAAAATAGAAGCCTTCTTACCTTGAACGGAAGCATCCATGTTACTGTTAATTAGTAACATGATGACATTCCAAAGGGTGCTGCGTCATTGTGATAAATGAGTAGATGTGAACCATCGTACATTTGTAAAAATGTTCAAAGACCAGGGTTAAGACTGGTCTTCAGCAACTCATGTTTGTCGTAAACGGAAGTTGACGGGTTTGGGTGGTCAGGAACACATATTGCTTGATTCATGTCATCGTAACCCAATTGCACAGTCGATGCACATGATGTTGATCACTAGATTATCTAGTCAAGACACGAATATTTACATACCGCCGTCATGTACTGAGATACTGCTGAGTGCGACGCTAGACAACAAACAAAGATGATCCAACGATTAATCCGAAGCTGCTACCAGTTGTTAAAGCCACAGTTGATGGCAACATCCATGAAAGAAACTTTCCAACCTTTAGGGAATTTATATGCTGAAATATTAAATGGAAATTTGCTAATTGTTTATCGACGTAACATCGTTCAAAGCAGTTTAAAGTTTTACCCATTTCTGAACGACATCGATTGAACAGAGTAATTGTGAAACTATAACCAGCTCAATACGTAGCTTACTACAGTACAGGAAAGAGACGCATGTACGTTGGTTAACGGGAAATGCTACAAATAAATTGTATGAATATAAGTTAACTTCTGCCCTGCTTTCAAAACTGAACGTATCCATGTCAAAGGGCAGCACACAAGCGCAGTCATACACAAACATATACACCAGTATCCCCCTTTGTGATCATTTCACTGCTTGGAATATTACGCCGAAGGGTCCAGTAAAATAATGGAATTTCCAGTGAAAACCTTTCACTTCAACATATCTAATTCCAATGAAGTCAGAAAGACCAGAATATGCTGGCATTAAGTAAGATGATGGAATTTCAATCAAACAGCTTTCACTTCAAGACATCTTATCCCGATGAAGTCAAAGGACTATCATTTCATAACATCCAAGAAATGGTGGCATTACTGTTCTCGATTGGAAATGATTATTGCAGTGAAACTAAGCTGGATAAACAGATGGGTTTATGGGAATTCCATATGGGTATCATTTGTAAATTCGTAGTTAATGCCTACATTTACCTGGCTGGAGAAGCGTATATTGCACAACAGGTTATTCTAAAGATTAATTATAACATTTGGAAGGAAGTTTTGTTATAAAGGTCAATGCACCTGATGTACTGAGATGATGGTTTACCTTCTGATGAAGATACGGCGAGCAAGTCTGTCTGGTATAATAATGAAATCAAAATTGATGGTTAGTATATTTAACAATGACATTGAAAAGGTACAGCATTCGTACATGATATCATTAATGATACGGAGAAACATAATCGCGACATTAACATATGAACATAACAACTTCAACCCTTAGTAGCGTTAAATATTTGAACTGGAGAATGAAATTTTAGGAAAATAGCATTTCAAGCCGATTGGATGGGAACGAGTCGGGGAGAAGGAGAATGAGGGACTGACTTTATGCTAACAAGGTCATGTGCAGTTACTATTACAAGACCAAGTGTATTACAATTTGTAGGACTATCAACCAGGAAAGTAAGTGCTATAAATAGATTGCCTTTGTGAAAAATTGAAAGCAATGCAATAGCTCCGAGACGAGATATGTTATCTCAACACACGAAAGACCTTTCTACATGTATGTAGAGAGCATGCGCGCAGAGAACGTGACACCAGGTCACTATGAGTGGGGAGCAGGGTTAAACTATTCCCTGAGGAACCCTCACCCTCGCGGACTTGGTTGACCTGTGTCAACGCAGGGGAAACAGGCGGCGTCGACTACTTCAGTCTCTCTTCACGACGTCTACGACCAGTACACATTAATCAAATGGCCGCAGATCAAGTTGTCAAAAGACTTAAGTTTATATTCTATAGTGTTTGGTCATTGTTTAACGTCACGCTCCGAAATAGGTAAACTGTCGAATATGGACCTGATAATCCAGTCATCATTAGTATCGACCTTCGCAACCAGGATACGATGACATGTGTCAACCAAGTCAGCCTGACCGCCCGATCCTGTTAGTCGCTTCTTACGACAAGCATGGGCTGCTGAAGATCAGTTCTAACCCGGATCTTCATTGGTACATGTTATTTCTCAAAGAATGAAGACCCTCAGAACCTCACGGTGTACAGATATTTGACTAACATTCACACTCATGATCAGCTAGATATCCTATAAGACTTTGAAAACAGATCTCACAGATCAATAAGAAGTGAGTGAGTGAGTGAGTTTTACGCCACACTCAGCAATATTCCAACTATATGGCCGCGGTCTGTAAATAATCGAGTCTGGACCAGACAATCCAGTGATCAACAGCATCAGCAGCGATCTATGCAATTGAGTACCAATGACATGTGTCCACCAAGCCAACGAGCCTGACCACCAGATCCCGTTAGTCGCCCCTTACGACAAGCATGGGTTACTGAAGATCAATTCTAACCTGGATCTTCACGGGTCAGATCAGTAAGAAGAATTAAGCCACAATACATTATAGAAACACTTCAGATATAAGGATGAGTCAGGTAAAGACTTACCCAACAGTACCTGAAGTATTAAGGTGGAGGTCGAATAAGGCTGATCCGTATTAAATATATCTTTTAAACAGATTAACAAGAAACATGGATAGAAGATATATTTATTATATAAAGACGATACTAACGAGATGGAATTCCAGTCTATCAGGTGCACGATCAGGGAGATGGTTCGGTTCAAAGTAGGTTATAACAAAATACGATCACATCATCGGGCAGTACGATTCCGACCGGAGGTAGTGGAATATTACTGTCGCCTGAGGAATATATGCCAATCTTCTTTTAGAGATTACTGAGATTAAAAGCTTGTGAGCCCCCCTTAAACCAGCAAAATACAACACAATCAAGTCTATTATATTCAATTATATAGGGAATATATATAGCTACAAAGAATGTCAGTACAGATTTCCAATACAATGCTAATGGAAAATCAAGATTTATGGATGTCGACTTCTTTATTGTGAATAACAATACAAGTATACAAGAAGAACAATACAACAATTGTGAAATTGACATCTAAAAATGTTGTTTTTCTTATGCATTCCACTTCTAAATGTCTTCCAAAGACAATACTATTGGACCACAAATCCAAAATATTGGGCCACAAATCTAAAATAATAACTCACCAAAGTCTTGATACAGATGTATTGATTGAAGACAGCTGTTGAAAGTTCATTGTAGACGAGGCCTCTTGAGTGGTGGGTCTTGAAACGTCGATGTTAGCAGGCAGATGGGCGTAAATCCAAAGTCATCCCTCATACATCAACAACCATCCCTTATATACCTATTATATAGTTCTGTTATTTTTCTAGCAAAAGCCATGACATGCTACGATCTTTTCACTGCTTCCACAATCCGACCGGAAGCAAAACAAACAAGCGCAAGTTCAAATCCACATTCAGCACCTCAAATATTTGTGACCCATGTTAACTAAAAGTTAATTATGAGACATTGTAATAAACAAATCACATCCTCATAACGAAATACATATTCCAACTGAATAAATACCTACTTGTATATATCAATGTGAATGTTCAAAGCAAATAGCTGCACTATATCATATCCAAATAAATGTTCAAACTAAATGACACATTTGATATCAAAATAAATGTTCAAATCAAATGGCTATATTACATATCAAACTAATATTTAATCTACATGACTATATCGCATATCAAAGTAAACGTTCAAACTAAATGGCTATATTACATATCAAACTAATATTTAATCTACATGACTATATCGCATATCAAAGTAAATGTTCAAACTAAATGACTATATTACATATCAAACTAAGTGTTCAAGCTAAATGACTACATTACGTATGCAGAAGTCACTTGTTTACTATGTTTATATATATATATATATATATATATATATATATATATATATATATATAGATAGATATATATATATATATATCACATAGATAAATATAAACATAATGCCTTTTTCTCCAACATGATTCGTTCTTTACTCTCCAGGGAGATTGAAACAGTTACGGTATGACGTCATTACATATATATTGTGACGTCACAATATGTATTTCATACACACACATACACACACACACACACACACATATATATATATATATATATATATATAAAGAAAGTGATGAGAAAACCGAGCGTACAGTAGTACATATATAAGAAGAAGTTTCTGAAATAATTACACAACACGGATCTTCTCCAACATGTTTCACTTTTATCTTCAGGGAGAATCGATTACAGTTAAACGGATTATGTTATGACGTCAATTTGTCATGACGTCACAATGCAACTGTATACAAATGTTGTGACGCGGCGTTGCCATGACGTCACATTGGCGGCTTTATATTGACAGTACTAGTAGCACAATGAAAACAAGTATAATTCAGACACATTGCGTTACCTATTTAACGATGGACACAATTCTTTGATGAAAAAGTTTTCTTTAGCTTTACGCTGCATGGCGTCAGCAGTATTCATTTTATAGAAAGGGAATATGTTGAATTTTATTTCCTTTCCTGCTGCGCAGTATTCAATGTGAGCGCTTAAGGGGATGCACCTAGTTTTGGGGTCCTTAATCTGTTGTTTATGGACGCGCATTCTGTCCCTCAAGCACTCCGTTTATCCAATGTATTCTTCATGACACCCTTGGCATATAATAACATAAATAATATGTTTTGCGGAGCAGTCCATGTTAGAGCGTACATGAAATAATTGTTTCCTGTTTTTTGAACTTTATACATGAAGTTTCAAGTATATATTCACAAGTTCCACAATTTCCCCGTTTACATTTTGAGACACTGAATTCTGTAGGTTTAATACATGAGTCGAATGTGGCACGTGTCAATATGTGTTTTAAGTTACGGCTTTGGCATTTACTCTTTATCATTGTTACATTAGCCATAATTCGATTCATTTTCATATCAGCATTTAAAATTGGAACATTTTGTCTTATGATATGAAAAAGTTCCGGATTCTTGGGGTTGCGTTGAAACATAGGCCAGATTGACAGTGCTATTTATTTGTTTATCACGAACTTTCAACAGTGTCCTATATATAACAGGTTTCAACCATGCATCACTCATAATATCGGCAAGTGCATTCACGTACCAATAGCCCAGTCACAGTGGTCGACACCAGACTCTTCATCCGTCACTTTCCAGTTGACGCTAACCACACTTGATGTTTGATGATCTTCATCTGAACCTAAACACAAAGATTGAACTTGAAAATACGCTTGGAGAAATGGTTCATGATTTTTAATGTAGGATCACACGTAAGTACATGTATATGTTTGTATTGCATTAAGGTTTAAGTTACAAGTTTAAAGTTCAAGCCGGCACGAGTTTTGTTTTGTTAGTTCTGTCTTCGGCTCTTAGATACACCTATGAGCATCGTAACATACGATCTTGCTGTGATCGGTATCTTATGATTTGGAGTATTTGCCTTTACATTAATTTTGCGTCGAGTTTCCATAAAATGTGTATGGTTGTGATATAGCTGGTATACAACCAAATGCGTTGTGAAGCGGAACTCAATCATCCATCCTACGACATGAACCTGGACCATCACCGATGTGACGGAAAATTGGCGGCGTCAGATCTACAATGATGGGTTGTCCATGGGAAACACTAGTCAGTCCAGCAGCATTCGTTGCTATGACAGTGATGTAAACTTTGGTGTTGTGGACCAACTTTAGACCGGAAATTACTCCTTGACGCTTTCGGCCCACATTCGTATACTTCTGAAATTGACTACCTCCCGGAACTGTCCCTGAAAATACGTTGAGGTGATGAAAGTAATTAACGCGCTACAGTGGACAGTGACTTTGCATTGCGAATTGATGTCATCCTTGTGATCACTTTACAACGCAGGTCCTCAAAGTGCCAGGAAGCATGTAGAGATGACCAGTGTGACAAGAACACAGAGTGGACCACCAGATGCTCCTCTGTGTCCACACTGTCCTGACCAGCAACATAGTCCACGGTCTGGACACTTACATGGTCCAATACAAACTCCATCATCCTTGACGATGACGATATCTTCAGCACTAGACTGGTATCTACGGCTGTGAACCTGTATGTGTGCTTGTTCCAGAGGACGACTGAGTGATCTCCGACACTGCAGGTGCCTCTACAGAGGTTAGGGTCAAGGGTAAAGCTGAAGACTTCCCTTCCTATTGTAACTATTGCATCAACTGATCTGTGGGTGTTGGAAACAGTCTCTGGGTATCCAGCATGCAGAGTCAGCTTGTACTGCCTCCCAACCTCAAGACCTGAGATCGTTTGTTGGATGCTTCCACTTACGGACACAAACATATGTCCATCTTTAGCTAAAGGTGAATCCGGCGCCTGAACCTTGATACAGGACGCTGTGTCAATTTCCCATGGTGTTGGTATGACGAGGTTGCAGCTTGATGTACTACCTGTAATATCGCCTACCTCAAATGATGGGTTCTTAACCAGATTGTCTCCAAGATATGCTACATCCTTAGTTTCAGGGGGTGATGTGTCGATGACAACTCCATCAGATACAGCTACGTCAGAGGCATGACCAACCGCGTCTACAGCATACACTTTGTTCCATAATGTACCTGTAAACATCGTCAGTACATATAAGAAATATTAAGATATGTATCACTATATCCTGACTCTACATTTAATATATCATATACTTACCACCAGACAATGGAGTTGGAAGTGATCTGCTAAAAGATGTGTGCAGACCAGTATCCAACCACTCCAGTACACTGCAGTCTGTTGTGTTGTGGCTTGTCCCGACACACCAGAAATACTTGACAATTGTTGAGTCTGTGTCAGAAAAGAAGTACCATGAGGCAGAGACTTCGGATGTAAAACTCTGGTAGTCCTGGTCGGGGAGGTCTGCAGATGTAAAAGATATAGTCTTGCAATAGTCCCGCGAGCTAAAATCATGTACCGCATACCGATGTACAATGCATCATTAATGTTGAAAGTATCTACTGTTTTCATTTCTGTATTGGTCTTTTCCATCACTGACAGTTAATTTTGCAGTATAGTACCTGCTCCATCATTCACTTTGCCTACTACCGGAGGCATGACGGCAACCTGTACTCCATCAGAGTGGCCCAGCTGACCAGACCAGCCTTGTTGTAAGCAAGGACACTGCAGTAGTAGACTGTGTTTTGACGTAAATTCAGACCTGTCGCTGTATAGTTGGTGGAGGTCAGGTCCCCTGATTCGCGGATACTGTGACCTGAGAGTTAAAATATTAAATCGCAGACCTAAAATTAGTAAATATCGAAAGAGTACTCCAAAGAATAACGGTAGCACAATTTGGATCGTTGCTTGCATACAAAGTAATTATGTATAATCAGGAACCTCAGGACGACTGTTAGTTTGACACTAATCTGACAAACTCATAGGCGACAGAATATAATATTAATCGACGAGTACGATATCGATGCATGTAATATATAAAAAGGTACAGGCAGTTGAAGTGTTCATACACACCACAGAACAAGTTTGTGTGTACCTATATACGTCAATAACCCTATGATCGCGAGCAGCATCCACACGTCCATGTGTGTGTGTGTGTGCATGTGTGTCTGCACGTGTGCGTGTGTGTGCATGCGTGTGTGCATGTGCGTGTGTGTGTTTGCAGGCATAAGACATGTCGGTGTGTGTAATCAATTGGGGCTAATAGCACTTTCAGCACCACAAAACATCTTCACTCCATCATTTATCCAGATATTGGGACGCGGATACTGATGAGAGCTGAGAGCTCTCGCATATAGACAAGCTAATGATAATCAGTTAAACCTTATACCTCCTGTGTGCGTGCTGATGTAGACCATGTATAGGTGGATGCTGCTTATACCAGGCAGGAAATGTCCAGACCACGTGACGACAAATGTGTTGGTCTGTGTCTGGAAGTCTTTGGAGTCCTCAACGTCTCGGACGTCCTTCACCTGTGTCAGCATTTGTTTCGGTCAGACATGTGAAAATAATAAACGGAACGGTATAAATGCACTCAACAAAGGCTCAGAGAAAATTGGTATTCAAGATGCACTTACAGTTCTTCCTGATTTGTTAGTAATTACAGGAGGCGTTGTATCTGACGCCATCTGACTTGAAGATGCCGTAAGTAACGTTATCATACCACGCCTTTACGAAAAAGGAGTAGTTTATTCCAGGTGTCAGAACCTTGTCTGAAATCAGAAATCAACATGTACAAAAAAGGCAAACTCAAGACCATACAAAAGGGACTACGTTGCCATAGAAATATGCTCCAATAAGAAGGTCGTATGGAATTTTGAAATACCAAACTATAGGGATGAAACAACCCTCGACAAAAGAGAATGAACTACAACATATAATGACCTGCTTCCAATGTTATGACAGCTGATGTTTGTTGACCAGCGTCCATCCAAACCCTCCCGGTCGTTGTATTAAAAACTCCTTCTGGTTCATCTCCATCGCTCTCCCCTATACTGTATTCATAGCTGCAATATAACAGATATATGATCTTAAGTGACATAATTGATCGGACAATTATATGTTCTTTTCAACTGCCTTACACATTATTCTGTTGAGATTAGGAAGTCATAGTATCATTTTCCAAACATTGATTTTTGTAAGATAGATGTTTCCAGAAAACCAATTGTTTGTTTACATGTGTTTATTTTTTATTGAAGATAGCCAAAGGGTATGACCAAAAGGTATATCGATAGTTTGTAAAAGTATTTGTTTACAAGCGCAGGACGTTTGGAACATGGAGATATTCTCAGGTTCTTTTGTATTACTCTTTTGTTCATCACTTCATGTGTCTATGTTTGTGTATTCCAGATGATCGGTATATAACACAAATACAAATATGATACAAATATGTATTCTGGTGAATACTGAATTATGACGTCAGTATATGATATAGGCATACCGTGTTACTTGGAGACCAGGCGTAACAGACCAGATTGCCGCCATGTAGGTGAAACATCAACGAGAAACATCAACGAGAAACATCAACGTCAGCAACATCAGGTGTTAACGAGAGGTCGATACTGTCGACGACAGTGATAGAGTTGGCTCCTGTAAACGATTTGCACTGGATGACATGGCCAAATAACAAACAATGACACAAAGGATGAAAACAGTCATGTAGAGTGTGTGATGTGCGGATAGATATATTAGTTATCGAACAGTGCTCTAAATAATAAGGACCGCCACCGTGGTGTAGTGGTTAGAGCGTCCGCCCGGAGAGCGGAAGGTCGCGGGTTCAATCCCCGGCCGCGTCATACAAAAAGACGTTAAAATATGGTACTTGTTAGTCCCTGCCTGGCGCTCGGCATTAATCGGTACTACAAGGACTGGTCGGCTCGGAATCAGTATAATGTGTCTGAGTTGGATATTCATGCTTCACTGCGGCATGGTATGTCAGTGGGCTATAAAACCAGCTTCAGTCTGGGCTAGTACAAGCAGCCGCACATACACATACACACGCATGCACGTCGTCATATGAGCGAAATATGTTCTAGCACGACGTTAAACCCAGTTTCACCTCACCTCTAAATAATAAGGGCATGGGTGGCCTACTTATCGGAGGGATGGGTGTGAACCCATGGTCATTGGTTCGAATCTGTTATGTTGTTTATATTCCGTGGTTTGTCCGCACCACACCTAGGTTCGTGGTGCGACCATTTCTAAAACACCATAAGTCGTGATATGACGCGTACACTCACCCACTCATTGTTGACAGATGTTTGTGTGTTACATCGAAATATAATAAGATACAAAGTAAATATTAAGACCTAGTTGTTAACTAAGGTTTGTGCATTACTGACATCTGAATATAAGAAAACACACCTGCTGTTGATAATACACATGTGTCTTCAGAACAGGTACCGCCCTGCACAGCACAGACACAATGTCCCTCACAGTTGTAGGCCTGACACCTCCTCACCAGCCACAGAGTAGAGTCTGCCTTCAGGACCAGTTCAGCGTGGTAGGCATCACTCTGTAGGCCAACCTGCGAGTCACAACGAAACATTCTTGACTCATTGACTGATCATCAATGTCAGTGACAGACGATTCCAGGTATAAAGATCAAAAAGGAGAATTTATTCATAATATCTACCAGTATACACACGTGATTTACACACTAAAGTATGCCACGTACCCCATTCACTGCCCAGATAGCTACAAACACAGTCCCATCATGTGGCAGAGTCTTGGTGGTCACACTGAAGGTCTGGAGAACTCCCTCGTCACCCTTGTCATCTGCGGCTGCTTCGTGGGAGACCTCTGTTAGTCCACTGACCCATTATAAATACGTGACTTATTTCAAGACTATATCTGTACGCGTTATTATTGTATCTTACAAATATGTGACTCATGTCAGGAATATTCAGACCCGTGAAGGTCCGGGTTAGAATGAATCTTCAGTAACCCATGCTTGTCGTAAGAGGCGACTAACGGGATCAGGTGGTCAGCCTCGCTGGCTTGAAGCTGACACATGCCATCGGTTCGCAGTTGTGCAGATCGATGCTCATGCTGTTGATCACTGGATTGTCTGGTCCAGACTCGATTATTTACAGACCGCCGCCATATAGCTGGAATATTGCTGAGTGAGGCGTTAAACTAAACTCACTCACTCACTCCCTCAGGAATATTTATGTACACGTTATTATCATGCCAGTTATATGCTAGGAAATAACATACATAATCAGATGTCGTTTGTGACGCTTTATCACAACGTTGTTCACTTACTTTATTATACTCAGTTCCGAATTATCGAGACCCCACTGATACAAGATAATGTTGTATTTCAGAATGTAGGTCAATGTAGAATGTAGAAAGCCTTAAATACCACGCTAGGTTTAGATTTTTACTGTTCCAAGTCATCTATCCAGTTTGATGTCATTAGAGTTTCCTGCCGTGGTCGGTTTCTATGGCGAAGGATCCTGCAGAGGAACAACAACGATGACATGACGCTGACAACTGCAGTGTCATGGTATCTTTCACATATTCATTCGATCAAGCGAAACAATCACCAAATTCCATTGTGCACAGGAACAGTTTACCTGTTTTGGGTTTAGAGCTGTCAACCAAAATATCCCCAGTAGCTGCTGTTGTACAGAGGCCCGCCATGTTGCAAGCTGTGACCTTCATTTTGTATTTACTTCCATCGTGCAAGTCCAGATTTGTGTATGTGTATTCCCGAATAAAACCTGGAATCTGGGGAACAATTGTGGGCTTTGCGGTAAACATTGTGAAAACAATACTGTGGTGAATTGGCTCCAGAGGACACATATATAAGAAATTAATATATACAAATTACATAAAAATGGATGAGATAAAAGACTATATAAAAAGAGCTTAAAGACTATATAAAAAGATTCATATATAAAAAACTAATCGTTTCTATTTAACTTCGGATTTTCAATATTGAACTATGATATTAACATATGATATGGTGTACTTACAATGGCCACATAACTTAGTTATGTATAAACATCAGTTACTAATGCATATGCATAGAGCTGGATAGTAGTGATCTGTTCATGAGCTGCCTTCGATAACTATTACAAGCTATAAACACTGATTATCAGCGTAGTTTCACACTGTTAATATACAAGGAATAATCGCCAGGTATAATTTGACATGAATGATTCAGGCAGCTTCACTGTACCTTAAGATTAGAACTATCTATCTCTCCAAACAGGTGAGATGATAAGGAGAGGCACTGGCGTTCTATGGAGGACTCAACGTCTTGGAACTTCCAGTGTAGGCTCAGAGCTGTCCGACTGATTGTAGTGTTGGCAACAACGGAAGAAACCCCGTCTCTCGCCGTCGGTGAGGTCACAACAACAGGTGCGCTGTTGTCTATCGTAACTCCATTGGACGTCGTTTCCGAATGCAATCCTGTAGCGCGGATTTCAAAATCAGTCATATGTTAAAACTAACTATTGTGTACAGATATAACGTGTGAAAAGAGAGGAAATGGGTTCTTAAATCAAAATATACAGAATAGATCATGATATAGATCTTCAATCGGTATTGTACCTCCTTTGTTGAACGCTCGGACAGTACTGTAGATCATCTGCCCAAATGGCAGCTGTTGGTCACGTGGGAAGATGTGGAAGATGACCTCCCCCGGGGCTGCATTCCTGGCTGCCAGAATCTCATCACCTCCTGGTGTTGTTCCTACACGCCATTCATAGTGGTCTAAACCAGATTCAGGGTCGTGGAAGCCCCGCCATTTGCATCCCAGAAATGTCCTGAAACAAGGGTTTAGGCAGGTAAAGTGGTTGAAAAACAATAAAGTTCACACAACATTTCCCTAATCAACATTACATTATTCATGTATAACTGGAACATTAACCTCGTCGCCTGGAACTGTATGTCCACGTCGCCTGTGCCATCCTGCACTGTTCCTAGGACTGGTGGGGAGACGTCCAGGATCACACCGTCTGACGTGGGGGAGCTGCTGCAGAGGCCTGCTGTGTTACAGGCTGTCACTGTGGTGAAGTACTCCACTCCTGGGGAGAGCAGGATGTGCTGGAGGCTGATGTCTAAAACATATATGTATGGCATCATATAGGTTGTGAAGGGGTATAAATTACTGTGTGTTACAAACTTCCGTATTTTGTTTGATCGGGCTGGTAAGATAGTAAAATAGAAAATAGATCTGAGGAGACGAATTACATTTTGTATATTGTACTGGAGGTTGGTGTCTGAATCATTTTATAATTTATATTTGGAATTGTGTGCACATTCAAATGTTATATATTTCGCATCACGCCTCGGATATCTGTATTTTGTTGATAGGCTGATAAGAAGATAATGATAGCATATACTGTCATCACATTTTGAAATATACACAAAGAACTTAGTTCAGCACCCCTGACTTATCTCCCGTCTGAATGAGCCCCCATCTTAACCCGTTGGAGCATATCTGGGACATGACTGGTCGTCGTGTGCAACAAAGGCATTCTCCTGTACAGAACCTGGCCCAATTGGAAGCTGCGTTACACGAGGAATGGCGAAGACTGCCCCTTCAGAGGACCAGGAGGCTGACAGAAGGTATGAGGAGGAGAGTGGTGACTGTCACACAGTCACACAGAGGTTACACTCGGCATTGACCTTGAATCGTGTAAGACACGCAAAATGACATTTTGAGTGTTCACATTCACCAATGAATTCAACATTAAGCATTCCAGGGCTATACTTGTACAGATATGACTGTGTATGAAAAGAAGTGCTCTTTTTAATATGAGCAATTATCATCATAAAATAAACATGCCAATAATTTTGTCGTTTTCTATGAGTCAAAGGATCATTCAGGTCAGAAAATCTGATGTTTTTTATCATTGCAAAAATACAGGGGGTGCTTAATAAAGGCCTTTGTGTATATATGTGTGCTGAGAAGATCTATTTGCCAATAATTTAATATTTCATCAAGGACAATCCTTGACCTCCAACAATAACCTAATAAAACTCTACTTTTTGAATTTCCAAACTCTATCTCTTCCAGTTTGTCGTCACAGCCTTTGCAGGTCCCGACTTTGACCTTGTAAATGGCGACACTTGAATGAGGATCGTCGAAGCCTTCCCAGTAGGCTGCCATCTCTGAGACACTGGTGATATAGTCCTTGTCTTTGTCATCATGTGAGGCAGCTGACTGTACTCCGTCATAGACGTGGCCAGTAGATGGAGGCGTGGTGTCCACAACCAGAGGTCGTGATGAGGACAGAGTGTACAGACCTGCACCGTTGACGGCCTAAGCCAAATATATGTTTAAGGGTAAAAATATATGCATACAGTTCCATATCGTGAATAGCAAACATGACATCAGCTATGAATGAATACACAGAATATGCTTTTTTCTTAACCATGAAAAAAATCACCAGGATATAATGTTAGAACTGAAAACCGATCTGGTTTGAAAATCTGTGTAACTCCTATTAATACAGCTGTACCGTGTAGTGTAGAGATAGATAGATGCCTTATCGAAATACAAGTAGTGCGCCTATATGTACCTTCACAGAAATATAATATGAATGTCCATCCTCCACATTTGACGTATCAACCTCCAAGCAATCCTGGTCAGTGATCACGTTCTCTCTGACACGTCAGCATACGCAGGTCTGGGTACCCATGGAAACCATGTATTCTCTAGAACACGTTGGTCCAGCTATAACAGACATCATTCAGAGTCATCTTGCACAGCATTGATACGTTCCTAGTATGGTGTTCTACCTTCAGTTGTTGGCGATCTATAGCCCGTGTTTTATATTGTATTGTCTTCTTCGATTAAAATCTCCCGCCATGATGTCGGTATTCCTCTTGGGTGAATTCTACTTTGGGAACTCGTGAACTGATAAGTACGAAATGATTGCAGTTGAGCCATACTCGCTTTAGAAGACAATCGCAGTGTGTCTGCGATGCATTGCTAGGTGTAGATTTAACAGCATTCTTTTCAAAACAGATAGTTTTATTTTTTTAGATTGAGAACCGGTAAGCTTAAACATACCTACATTCCTTACATTCTACCATTTAGGCAAACCCGTAAGTGTTATCACATTTACATATTACAGATGCCGCATGAATCCAATGTTGAGTGTGTTTTTTACTGTAGTCATCCTTTAAACAAAATACAGTATAACGTATTACACCCTCAAGCAATGGCCTTACACTTCAGGTAATACCTCATTCGAACGTGTAATTTTCACTGAAAACATGGTAGACAGCTACTTCGTAAGATAACAATTGGACATCCCTACAGAAGCAACAAGCTTCCAACGTGTTTGTTCAAATGTAAACCACACCATATCGGCAAATATAATGTTACCGTTATGTAAAAACTGCCGATTTTCGTGTTCTCGATTGATCATAAATTTAAAACATACTTTACAGATTTCTATTGCGTTTTCTGTACAAGATTTATTGCCGCATTCATTCCCTATGAATATGCTAGAAACTGCAACTTTGCGTTGTGTCCCCAGCAAAAATAACAGTAAAGGTCACCTGTTTAGAAGCGATTATTTGATAACCACTCATTTGACTGAACAATCTGAGTTGAGAGTTTTTCTAAATTCACGGTAGCACTGCATTTCAAATACTCAATGATATTTTAATGATATGCTTCAACGTTGTATTTATGTGTGTACATATATATTACCAATGTTCACACTTGATGATGACATCAGGCACGCTGCAGGGGTCACTGACGGTCATCCAGGAGTCTCAATCAGATTGTTCCGGTCAAAGATGGAATGATTATCAAATAATCGCTTCGCTTTAGTGACCTTTATTCGACACGAAACAACAGATTACGGACTGTATGATATCTTTATTGAAAACAATGAAAATGCTGTAATGTTTAAGACATGATCAGTACGAAAAATCCACATAACGTGGCTATTATGATAACGATAACGTGGTTGTTGAACAAGCTGCGTTGAGTTGTTCTCTTCGAGAGATGTTCAGTGACCAGCTACGAAAGCAACTTGTCTATTTTCGATACGTTCAGGCTGTTACTGGTCTTCAGGTCATTGGTCAATACGTTATATTTTGTTTGAAGGCTTCAATAAACTTACGCTTTCAACGATGAATAAACCGACATCTATATATGAAATAATAATAACACTACGAGGACTACTAAATCAACGGAATCTTGAGAATAACGGTATGTTTAAACACCATTCTCAATCTTCAAAAAAAAAATAAAACTATCTGTTTCAGTACCTAACTGTCAAATCGCGAACACCTTACGCTCAATACGTATCATTCGTACTTATCGGTTCGAGTTCCTCAAAACAGAATTCGCGAAGAATACCGACATCATGGCGGAAATTTTAATCGAAGACACAATACAATATAAAAATTAAATCTTCAGCAACGAAGATAGGCCTCGCTGCGTAATGCTGTGCTGTAATACTGAATGATGCTGGATCCCCAACGTATTCTTAGAAACCATGGTTTCCATAGTGGGCTGCGTAATGCTGATGATCGGCGATCATGACCAGCAACTGGAAGAAGGATTGATGATACGTCAAATGATGGTTATTCATGTTATCGATAAATGACGCTATGAGCATACTGTTTCGACAAAAGACATCTATCTCTGCACTACGTATGTACGGAATTTTCAAACCAGCTTTTCGTTGCATTATATCCTGTTTTCATGGTTAAAGAAACTGTTCTGACTGTTCATTCATGGCTACAGTCGTTATATTCACGGTAATGGGCTTTATTATATATATTTTGCCGCTTAAACATACATATTTGGCTTGGGCGGCGGTGCGAATCTGTATCACGACATATCTACTACATGACTTGGTACGATCGGCACTTTCATGTTGTTTAGACGGACTTATCACCGGTAATGATATTTCGATGATAATTTACGGGTCGAAAATAAAGTTTTAACGATAACTGAAGGTAGGTTTAATTCAAAGTAGAGTTTAATATTGGGCCGGAGGTCGAAATTACGTCATACGATAATATTGACCGACGAAATATTTCTCGGCTTTTATACCATACACCAAAGACGCTGGCGCATCGTTTGCGATGATAAACATCGAACACTGATCACGATATCATAGAAAACGTTTAAAATATTAACGTATTTATTTTATGATGATAATTGTATTAACTTCTTTCATGTCATATGCTGGTAACCCTGAATAACAATGTTAATTCATTGATGAATATTTTCAAAATGTCATTTTGTCTTCGATAAAATTGTGACGATTTCCATACCTTCTGTCGGCCTCCCTATTCTCTGAAGGGCGTCTTTCGCCGTTCTCGTCAGCGGCGGCACCGATTGAGCCCGGTGCTGGCGCGACCGATATGACCGAATGGCGAGTTGGGCTCGGGGGCCTCTCGAACGAACGGTAAAGGGGCGCTAGAACCGGTGCGCGACCAGTATTTCGAAATGACGGAAGCGACGGCGCTAACTATCGTGTAGCATCGACTATCGGCAAAATCCATCCCGGCGTGATAGGCTATGGCATTTGAATGTGCCTGGCCAGTATAGAATTATGAGTGTTCGACACCAACTCGGTACGGCGCAGGTAGCTCGTCTTCCTCGGTATCTGACACCATGACGCACTTTATCTTACCGGCCCGATCAGGAAGTTAACCGGCACGCACACGATGACGCTAACGCTACGCAACATATGATTGCCGCCACGCTATGTTTTGGGCATCGGCTTCCTCTGTACTGCTTCCCGAAGACTTCACCCGATGACTTGACACCTGCGGCAGCTCCCCGCGATCGTCTTTCCCCGCCAGTCAGGCGCGGTGGGAATGGTGCTGGGCGGGCAGTTATGTTCGGTCCATACTGGGAACAATGTGATGTTGATTGAAGTATTGTGTGAACTGACGCTTTCGGCCGCGAAGCGTTTCGGTTTCGCGGGATGCCCGTGGCAATGACATGAGAATGGCGTAAAGCAACCGAGAGAAGATGATAATTGAGATGGCACGAGGTCATCCACATCTTCCGTGAGCACAGCTGGCTGCTGCGATTTGGGCGAATGATCACGGTACCAAGCGAAAGTGGCGGTGATGTTTATCGTGATCTGACTGCTGCCAGTAATGAATAACTTTTCGCGTTATACTGTGCAATATTGGTTTTGGCTATGACTTGATTTTAATCACGCGCTACGAACGCATTAAACATCAATGAGTGCGATGAACAACGGCGCATATATTGTTCACCGACGTGGAACCGAGGTCGGTTGTTGCGCCAGCACTGTCAGGAAGTCGGTTGCAGCTCTGACCCCGCTGGAAGTTCCAGACGTGAGTCTTCATAGGCGATACCCTCTTCATCGTCTCCGCCGGCTTGGAAAGTCAGATGGTTAATCAGCGAAAGACGCGGTAACTGCTGAATATCGGAAGTCCCTTGCCTTTGCATTCTTCTGGTGTTATTCGCGATATCGATGGTTTATAACTTTGGCAATGGATTACATCGAGGCTCATCGGCAAATTGACGGCTTTGATGGGCGCGCTGGCAGGTTATCTATTGATACCTTTATAGTAGCGTATCATGATTCAATATTAATCGAAGACAAACGATTAGTTTTTGTATGGCGCGGCGGTATCTTTGGCGCTCGTCGACACGCTATTGATTTGGCTGTATATTGGCTGTATGTAATATTCTCGCGGGCCGATTCTACGGTATTGTTTTCTGTCTTTACGCAGGCAATTCTTTCCCCGAAGATTCGAATTTTGATAGAACACGTACTGGAAATCTGAACTTTGCACGATGAAGCGCAAATACTGAAATGAAGGTCTGGCTGGCTTTATCGTACGTGCAATAAGCTTAAGGCGAGCAAACGCTGTTCGCATTACCACTATTGGTGGTGATTGTTCGATCGATAATGGTCATTTTGCTGCGGTTATTCATCATGTCGTCGATTCTGCGGGATCTAAACCGACCGCGCTGATGTCCGCGACGTCGACTTCAGTGGTAGATTTGCGGTAAAGTCAAAACTGGCGTGGCAATATACGTTCTGCCATTGATGCATCTTGTCGATGGTCGAACTGGTATATTAGAAGATGAAGTGGTTAACGACGTGATGAACGTTGTCGTGTAATGTTGTTTTCTGCAGCCTTAATGACGTGATAATAACGTGTACATAAATATTCTGGTGGTGGTGGTGATTTGGTGCTTCATATTCAACATATGGCGACGGTCTTATAAACTGTCGGTCTGGATACCGAACATCCCGTCGGTCTGCTGGCGAACCGACTGATGTCAACCAGCCGGCGAAGACGACCACCCGATCGTCTTGTTTAGCATGTTATGAAGATTCATTCTGGTTGGTCTATATTCTGACGGCATCGTATTGTAGATATACATATTAACGGAAAATATAATCTTGAAATCGTCTGCATGTTATAATAGGGCGGTGGTGGCTGAATATACAATGTTCCGTGGCTGGGGTAAAGGACTTTATTTGTCTGAAATTGATGGTGCGTGTGCTGAATATTATTAATCGCAGATCGGTATGGTCAGGTTACTGGCGCGATCTTTATGCGAATCGTCGATCGTCGATAAATGTTGGATGCATTCTGTGGCTTTACGAGTGAACTTTACTACGCATGTCTGGTGAAT